TTATTTGGACGACATCCTTATCTATTCCGAGTCCCTTACAGAACACAAGGATCATATTCGAAAAGTTCTAAAAGTACTTGATGAGAACCATGTTCATCTCAAACCCGAAAAATGCGAATTTATGGTTCAAGAAACAAAATACCTTGGCCTAATCCTTACCCCGGATGGCAACAGGATGGATCCGAAGAAGGTTATTGATGTTCTAGAATGGTCCACACCGATGAATCTCCATGATGTTCAGGTATTTTTGGGATTTGCAAACTTTTATCGACGATTCATCCTAGGATATTCAAAGATTGTTGCCCCGCTTACAGCCTTAACAAAGAAAAATGTTAAATTCGAATGGACAAATGAAAGGGAGGAAGCATTTCAAACTTTAAAAAAAATGTTTACAACAGCACCTATACTAGTTCATTTTGACCCGGATCGAAAAATTGTGCTGGAAACCGATGCATCCAATTATGTGTCAGCAGGAATTCTCTCACAACGTGATGATGAAGGAATTTTACATCCGGTCGCTTTCTTTTCCAAGAAGCATTCCCCTGCAGAATGTAACTATGAAATTTACGATAAGGAACTTCTAGCAATTGTGCGATGTTTTGAAGAGTGGCGACATCATCTGGAAGGAGCACAATTCCCTATTGAAGTCTTCAGCGATCACCGGAATCTAGAATATTTCATGACGACAAAACTGTTAAACCGCCGACAAGCTCGTTGGTCTGAATTCCTTTCACGTTTCGATTTTATTATACAATTTCGACCGGGAAAACAAGGAGCAAAACCAGATGCATTGACTAGAAGGTCAGGTGACCTACCTAAAGAGGGGGATGAACGGTTGACGCATCAGAGCCAAGTGGTCCTGAAGCGGAAAAATTTGGATACAAAGCTAAGTTTGTTCACGGGTTCTTTATCAAATGAATCCGCTGAAGGAATGTCCACTGTAGAGGAGTTATTTTCAAAAGCTTACTCGGTTGATAGTTTTCCAAATGAAATCCTTGCTATGCTTCGGGGTGACGTTCGCCATTCGAATAAAATTTCACTTGCCGAATGTTCGGAAGACAACAATGGTCGACTACTTTATCGAGGTGCACTCTATGTACTAAATGATAATGACCTCCGGCTGAGGCTCCTAAAAGAATATCATGATAAACCATCGGCAGGCCATCCGGGGAGAGCAAAGACATTGGAACTCTTAAGTCAGGAATATTATTGGCCACAAATGCGAAAGTATGTCAATCGATATGTTAGGAATTGCAATGTGTGTGTCCATAGCAAGGCAACACGTAATGCGCCTTACGGAGTACTTCGTCCAATGCAAATACCCGATGGACCATGGACGGATGTCTCAATGGATTTTGTTACTGACCTTCCTGAGAGTGATGGATATAATGCGATCCTAGTTGTGGTTGATAGATTAACCAAAATGCGACATCTAATACCAACGACTAAAGAGGTAGATTCGAAGGAAGTAGCGAGGCTATATATTGATAATGTTTGGAAGCTACATGGACTACCCGATACCGTCGTATCCGATCGAGGAACACAATTTGTCGCGGAATTTTGGAAGTCGCTCTGTAAATGCCTGGAAATATCTCCACGATTTTCCACTGCATTCCATCCCCAAACTGATGGACAAACCGAAAGGATCAATGCCGTAATGGAACAGTATCTTCGAAGTTACGTCTCTTATCAACAAGATGATTGGGCCCGACTATTGGCAATGGCCGAGTTCGCAACAAATAATCATGCTTCGGAAACAACAAAGGCCTCCCCTTTCTATGCCAACTCGGGAAGAAACCCAAGAATGAGTTTTGGCCCCTTGGAACATGGTAGAACGACGGCGGAAGACCAGGCCAACAGGGTAGCAAGGGAAATGAAGGATATAGTGGAATTTTTGAAGAGCGAAATGTTCCGAGCGCAAAGGATACGGGAGGAATCGGCCAACCTGAATTGTTCTCCCGCCCCTTGTTATAAGATAAGAGATAAAGTTTTCTTATCAACACGCCATATTCTGACAAAGCGATCCTCCAAGAAATTTGATTGGAAACGTATTGGACCTTACAGTATTAAACGAATCATTAACCCCTATGCTTATGAATTAGAACTTCCCCGTTCAATGAAGATCCATCCAGTATTCCACGTTTCGTTATTATCGCCGGAAGCAGGAAATCCGTTACCGGGACAACAGCAGTCACCACCACCTCCGGTTGAGATCGAAGGAGAGGAAGAGTGGGAAGTTGAAGATATTTTGGATTCTAGGAAACGAAGGGGAAGATTTGAGTATCTGGTACGATATGCAGGATATGATGAAGCCTCTTGGCAACCCCTATCGGACCTCGAGCATTCGCCTGATATTGTTCAACGATTCCATGAACGTTATCCACGGAAACCTAAGCCTACCAGGAGGTAGGCCTTAGAGGGGGGCGTAGTCTGTAATGGCAATACCATATTCCGGCTAAGGCGATAGATTGGATCGTGAAGAGGAGGTATTGCGTAGTTGAATTAGGATTTATAATGAGGGTTCTGTTATGTTCTTTCGGTTTCCGTTACGCGGGGTATTAGTCATCAACGGACTAGGAGTTGGATATATAATGGGGCGTTGCCTCGTGCCTTTTCATGTTTCCTTTCCTTTCCTTTTCTCTTCACGGAACCTTTGTATTTACTACACGAATACTACGTTTGTCCTACGTCTCATTATAGGGTTCAACTGGTTTGTCATACCAGGTAGAACCATCCCATAGTCCATAGCCACGAATACCTATTGCTACGTCTTCGCCTCGGTTGTATTCCTTGGCACTATAGTCCCTACGCCCATAGACCCCCGTTACACTTACCTTAACAGTTCGAATAATCGTAGTGAGCAGGCTGACTAGGGGATAGGTACTGTTTTAAACCTTTGAAACTTGAATATAAATAGTTAGGCGACTAACCCACCTTGTACTAAAAATGGTAATACTTTCGATCGTGAGAGTTGCTTCTATGACGTATATCACTGTTGTCAACAGGGTTGTAGATATTTTCAGCTGCTAAGATTCATATTCCAAAATTTCTGGTTTTTGTTTCTATGACGTATATCGCTGTCATCAACAGGGTTGTAGATATTTCAGCTGCTAAATTCATCTCGCAAAATTTCTTGTTTCTTATTTCCTCGTTAAAATATTCCTAAAACTACTATATAATTAATAAAATATCATAACAAACTATTTCAATTCGTTCATTTTAACTGTAAACATCAACTTGCCTGCCTGCCTGTTTGCCTGCCTGCCTGCCCGCTTGCCTGACTGCACGAATGCTTGCCCAAATGCCCAACTGCCTGCCTCCACACCTGCCTAGCTCCACGTCTGGCTGTCTGCCCGTCTGACTACCTGCCCGGCCCGCTGGCTGCCTACCTACCTACCTTCGATCAATTTAGTCGTTGATTTGGTGTCCAATTTGGGCGTCAATTTAGACGTCAATTGGGCGTCGATTTGGGCATCGATTTGGGCATCGATTTGGGCTTCAATTGGGCGTCGATTTGGGCATCGATTTGGGCATCGATTTGGGCGTCAATTGGGTGTCGATTGGGTGTCAATACGGGCGTCAAACTACAAATGTAGGTATATACGTATCCAGGCGACAAGGTAGGTAAAAGGTAAGCGCCGAGGCAGGTAGAAGGTAGGTATCAAGGTAAAAGGTGAAGTAGAAGGTGAGGTAAGCATCGAGGTAGGAGCTGGGGTGTGTGTATGAAGGTGTGGATCCTCAAAATGTGATCCGTCAAATTTGACGTCATTTGCCACTGCCTTACCTAATCGGGAGTAGGTACAAGACATATCCCATTTCAGACCAAATAGATCAGCAAAAAATGACTGGTAATTTCTGATACGATGAAAACACGGGTAGACGAAGTGATACGGAGCGCAGCGAGGCCGAATTAGTGAAATTAGCAACCAGTAACAGCTAATTACATATCAGCGCCTGATTTTTCGCTGATATATTTGTTCTCAAATGATTGAAATCAGTTTTCTTTTAACATTAATAATTCATAATAAAAATGAATAATGTGAATAATTTACGTCATTACAAAAACTCCATGAAACTTATTTCCAAACGGTTGACAAAACATATAGGATTCAGCGAAACTCATTTTAAAAACTCACTATTTGAAAATTTTTGAAGATTTCGATTATAGATTTCCGAATTGTTTTTCCAAGATCTATTTTTCCGACGTTAAAAACAATTAGGTAAGAATCTTAATATAAAAAAATCAGTGCAATCTGATAATTTTAAATTCAAATCCTATTGAATCGTATATGAATATAAATACAAAATATATATAAAAATAATATTATAAATAAAGATCTAAATTAAATATATTTTTAAATAACATTTTTAAATAAGATATTTAAAAAATATATAATAAAAAATAAAAAATAAAAAAAATAGAAAAAACTGTGTAGAATTGCTTTAGGAAATTCTTTCCAAATCAGGTTTAGTGTTGTTACACTTCCACATTTTTTTTCCGGTGCATACATTTATCAGTGTTAATATGTAAAATTTCAAATCAGTGGTTGGCCGTTATTGCAGGGTGCTTAAGCAAACCAGAGCCAATTACAGCCATTTCCCAAAAGACTTGGCACCTCGCCAAAACCTAGCATCACAACCCTCGTTCACTTGCAACTATGGCTCCACCACATATGCTCTCGCCGCGATCAAATGGTAATAGTAAGTCAAGTGTATACATTTATATTTCGACTTTAGTTTTTCTATTATATTTGTTGCCGTTTTGTAATCTGTATCTTGCTATAGGCCGTGAGGGAGTTCGAGGTGCCGGGTCTTTTGGGAAATGGCTGTACATAATGTCAGTGGCGGTGCCTTGAGCATGTGTGGCTTTATGTTATCGTGCAGTTGCAATGCCAGTACTAGGCCACCCCCGCTTTAGCCTACATGTTACCATAAACTACCGCAACACCTAGCTAGGCTACTATTTGCAACATATTATACCCAGCAGTACAGCTATCATCATGTCGTTTGGTGTCGGTATCGGCGATATACTTTTAGTCACCAAAATTGGGTTCACCTTATGGGTAAACCTTAAAGGAGCCCAAGAAGAACGCGAGGACCTAACAGCGAAACTAATGCAATGGAAAGATAAGTTGGAAATCATTGAGCCTATGCTTGCTGACGCGGTGAAGCTAGAACCGCGCACTGTTAAACTTGCCAGGGAACAACTTACAGAGGCTTTAGGAATTCTAGAGAATCTCGAGCACCTAAACCGAAAGCTTGTGAAGGGAAAGATATTACGACAAGCGGCGTGGGAAGTACGGGGAAGGGCAACGTTTCTGGAATATCAAACAAAGCTCGAAAAAAAGCTCGAAATGCTAGATATGCTCTTCCTTAGTGGCTCGATGTATGTAAACCTGAACATAGCTCAATTCCCGGTTATATTCTTACAGCGCTGGTTTCCAGGAAAATGGTCATAGACGGAGTCCAAGAAACCAATATCGTCTTGAAACGAGTCGAAAACGGGATGAGATATCTCGGCTTCTCGACCCCAGATAATGCGCCAATTATATTTATTGACGCGTTAGGCTACGAACGTCCGTTACCATACGACTTGTGCCTAAAATATGAGGTATAAAACTGGTTTTTCCATCAACATTATGCGCATCGTGATATTGCTGATGCCATATTTAAAGGATTTCCGGACTATAGTCTCGATGTGTTTCAAAGAATCTGCGGGAAAGTCCTTTGTTGAACGGGGGGAATACGACATCACCAATGAAGAGAGCGGCGCGCTCCTGAGACCAGAAGATTGGACCGTCATGGCCGGCATGAAGCTTTCAATGGCGATAATCATACGCAAGAATGTAAAGAAAGGAGAAAGAGATCACAGGTGCCCGGCTTGCGGTACACAATACACCGGGCCTGTTGGTACTGGCTACCACCTAGAGCGCGTGAACTGGTAATTTATCGACTGCTAGCCCTGGGACGAGAAAGTTGTGGCTGAATTATACGTCTAAAAGCAAGTATTGTAAACGGTGGTTCCAAATAACCTCACAAATCAAAGTTGTGGAAATTGATACTGTCGATGACACCGAGGAACAAAACGATTTGGGTTCGGATAGTGGCAAGCCTTCAAAGGATGACGACCTGATGCATATACAACGGTTCCATATCCGTGTAAACGAGATTAACAGGTGAAGTGGAGTCGATATTTCTAATTACTTACGGAAACGTTGTAGCACTCTGGCTAAGGCTTAATCAGGCCCAGATCGTGTGTTGACCCCCGTTTACCATTTCAATGATATATGTACTCACCATACGTGCACAGGTTGTGAGTAGACCCCATACCGCTGGGGGGTTCGATGATGTGCTGACCGTATGCAGGGAGTAAGTAGACTCCACACCGCTGAGGACTTCGATGATGTGCTGACCGTATGCAGGGAGTGAGTAGACCACATCACCGCTGAGGACCTTGATAATGTGCTGACAGTATACAGCGAGTAAGTAGACCCCACACCGCTAAGAGCTTCGATGATGGGCTGACAGTATACAGAGAGTGAGTAGACTCCACACATCCCTCAGGACTTTGATGATGTGCTGACAGTATGCAGAGACCAAGAAGTCGGGAATGGTCGGGGTGCTCCGCAAGGTACACCACAGAGTGCCGGTTCTGCATCCCAGGCACATCAGTTGCTCATGGCAAATGGGATTGACCCAAACCGATTGACTCCTCAGCAATTTCAAGCCTTCCAAGGCCAGAACCCAATCACCCAACAAAGATCAATCCAGCTATATGCCCAGAATTTGGCTGCACATGCGGGTAGAGCTGTGACGGCTCTTCGAGTAGACCACATCACCGCTGAGGGCTTCGATGATGTGTTGACCGTACGCAACAGGTGAGTAGACTCCACACTGCCGAAGACTTCGATGATGCGCTGACCGCATCAGCGAGTGAGTAGACCACACGCTGCTGGGGATCTCGACTATGTCCTGACTGTATACAGGGGGTGAGTATCTGAGGTAGGTAATACCCTTCCATCCCTTATACTAAATTGCTAAATGTCACATGACAGGACTAAGCACAACGGTGTGACTAATAATGGTGGATCAAATTGGACTAGTAAGAATTATTTCTTCTGAATTGTCCTCGCCACTGCCGGGTCTTTAACATAATCTGTTCCCAGAATTGGTAGGCTGCATATCGCGCGGTGATGGTTTTGGTATGCGAGGGAGGGTTTGTGGTAGTGAGGATCGGCAGTGCTCTGTTCTTTTTTTCCTATTTCTTATTTTTCTTGTTTATGACTCTCTTTTTGGGAGATGGAATGATCAGTTAGCTGTTATGTTGTGGGATGATGGTACAAATGGATAGGTTGTGTTGTGGGATCGATGCTGGCACGATCGGATGGTGGGATGGTGGGACGGTGGGACGGTGGTACAAACGGATACGGTGTCTTTCAATCAAACTTTCTCTAAGCTCTACACTTGTTTCGTGTCCATGGTATGGACAAACGACGAGGTCTGGAATCGGCCAGCTCGTCGTGATATATCTATCTTTATCACGAGTATACTGTAACGAGTGATACCTTGTGATCCATAGGAACAAAACTGACTTTTCCTAACATGTCCAAACAAGCCTTGGTGTCGTAATGAAGCGAGCCTGTAGGAACTTGGAGTACCAGACTGGAGGAGTAGAGTAGATCTAGAGTACACCGTCACTCTATCCTAGCGTCGAGTGTCCTCGGCTCCATCATCAAGGGTCCACCGGTCTCACGAGACCTGCATTAGCGGATCGACCTTGCATTCGGTAACGTGCAGCCGGGACGGAAAAACCATGGATGTAGGTACAGCGACCGGAATGATCTATGGAAAAACAGGGGGGTGAAATTGTATGGCGAAATATCTGTGCACCATATAACTGTTTTTTCCATAGATCATTCCCATCGCTGTCCCCCCCCCCCCCCCCCCGGTCGGGTCCAAAAAACAGGGATCGAAGTACATGTTCTCTATGTGTATCTTTTATTGTTTGGATTACATGTAGTATATACGTATGTATGCGTTGGTGAGAGGCGCTTGCAAAGAACAGGATTCGAAGTCTACGTGAAATATACCCCCAAGGCCCTCTTCCGGATCTTCCACCCTAGCTACTCGGGCGTAATCTGCTCAACCCCCCTGTTCGCTTGAAGTGTAAGTGGTTTTTAGGTGGTGAATTTGCATTATGAACTTCACTTTCTAGAAGCTATCGAATTCTGTATAATATCGGGAACGAGAGTACGTGTATCTGCATCCAGCGAGGTTTTCATGTGGCGGTCTTGATATGCGCCGTGCATGTCAGTAGCACTCACAAACTCAATGGGCGGTTAAGGGACTGCATATTTGAAGCTCGATATTATATTGAAAGGTATGTACATGATAGTAGTATACCAGGTCTATATAACCTCTTCTTGATCTCGTGTCAGCTCAGTTGAGCTAGATTATCCAGCTGGTATCTAATCCACCTCCCTCCCTGTTAATGCAGGCTAGGTGTTCTTTTAGGGTACGTGCGGTGACTTACGTATACGTCATCTTTGACCTCACCTTATCACGAACAGCCAGCTATATATATGTAGCTACACGTATATACATATTATCTTCATCATCAACCCACGTCCACACCGACGATAGCTCGTGGCGAGATCGCGCCAAACAACTGATATTTCGCTGCACTAGCCGTCACATTCCCGCCTTGGCGGTCTGCTAAACTGAAAACACCAACTTAAATCTTAGAATCTAGATGATTCACTCCTCCCAAACTGCATTCCAGGAATGGTTTCTCTACCTCCAACCTCTTTCAGTCATACAAAACCCAACATAAGAGATTACCTCAGACCAAACCGACTCCCCGGTCAGCTCCCCTCAAGGCGTTCAGCTTCGACATCACACTGGGATACGAACTCGCCTTACGTACTCAGCTCAAAACGCTTCGCCCATGAATAAATTTGGATAGTGGCTCATCATACCGCCGCTCCCGAAAGGATTGAGGATGGTGGAATTTCTGAACCCCGTTAATCAAGGAGCCGAAGCTCATACCGAGAACCTGCCTCCGCGCTGTTGGCTTGGATTGAAGAGGTACTGGCGATGTTCGCAACCACTATCGGAGGGCGGGGTGTAAGTTCGATCACGTACGCTGCACGAAAACCCCTTTTAGAAAACGCTAGATATATATGGGGACATTCTTATATCTTGGACCGATCACTTCATGACCAGTATCTCAAGTCCTTCTCCACCACCAACCACAAACGCTTGAAGTAACTTGCGCAACCGGTCAGACCAACTCCCGGCGTAACTTGACAAAATTGGAGCGGCGGAGAGTAAAGATTCAACTTGTGAATCCGACATCCTACAGTACTTGCTGTTAGCTATCGGTACTTTACAATTTCTCCTCTATTTCCAATGGCCACCATTGCCTAGGCAACAGCAGAGCAAGTGACCAGAAGAACAAATATCGGGAACTCAAGTTAATTCATTTATTCGAAGTTGAAGTTTTGCAGCGGAGATTTGGTTCTCCCTGGTATCATGGACCATTCTTGGGCCTAAAATATCTCACGCCCTCTAGGTGTCCCCCCGGGCAGTACCTAGGCTTAACCCCAGTGTCTACATATTACCCAGATGCGTAACCAATTCTTCTATTTACAGTATACACATGTTCGGTAAGCGTGTTTTTTACCTGTCTGAGGAAACAGTCATCAGCAGCTAATCAATTGGAAATGTCGATCTCCACTGATGTCTACATATATACCTCTGACATGGCATATCTGAACTTTTATAGCGATTGCGAAGGAACCCAAGAGTGTGGTGCACAAGTGAGATTAATTGGTTATAAAAAAGCACGCCAGCGCCGCTTTCAATTGAATCTAGATCTAGACACTTGCCTAACGTGATCTCCTCAATATCTGTCACACCCAAGACAAGCGCCGCCTAAGGCAACCACCGAGATTCCTCGTATCACCCAAGGCAACATCTCACGCCCGGGCGCTGTTCTAATAAGGTGCAGAATCCATTTTGCATACTGCCAGAATGGCAATATGGCGCATCTATCGGGGCCCATCTTTCAACCCTCCACGACACACCTGCTGGGGGGTGCACCGCCACAACCGGACCTCCAAAGCTACGAAAACATATGTCACGATCCCCACCTCATAGCAGTACTATACGCATGAACATGAATGACCTCTACCCAACCAATTCTTGAGCCCATCCTTCTCAAACAGGAATCTACGCCTCAGTCAGAATACACACCGACTACCAAGATCTGGCCTAGCAGATTTGCAAGGTCCACAATTCATTGAAGCACAGTCTCGATGTGCGTCCAGTACGATACTATTAGCATTTTTGTACCCAATACCCGTATTTTTACATATAGATCTAACAGCCAATAATCTATTCCACACGATACGTTGCGGTTCGGCTAGCTACACTATATGCGCTGACGAGTGATATTCTATGATTCAATCTTGATCAGGCAGCCGTTGAAGCAGACCGAGAGCACTCAATAGGCCAGCGCTGAACGGGTGGGATCCGAGTCAAGCACATGAGACAAATTAATCTTTCTTCGATATTTGTACTTATAGGCGGGTTAACCGAGCTTACTGGCTAGCCTTCGATACTCCCCCAATCAAACACAGATAAGCAATCTATATCCCAAATCCACGATAACGGGAGTAAACATTCTAAGAGAAGCAAAATAGCGCTATTCGCTCACTGCTTTCCAGAAATCCCTGTTTCATTCCCAGACGCACTCGGCAGCGCAATCACGTTACGAGGAAAAGATTATCTTTGGAAAAAGAAAACCTTTAAAACGAATTCCGTTGCGGGGAATTGAACCCCGATCTAGTCGGTGAGAGCGACTGATGCTAACCATTACACCACAACGGATTGGTAGAGAATTACTATTTGGCATATATGAATGGATTACTATCCTTGCAAGGATCAAGCTTGGCACCAACCTCAAATCTGAGAATCGAAATGATACACCTGTAATTTAAAAACTTCAGAATACGTGGTCTGTTGGATTTCTATTAGTATATTCTACTTATTCAAATTTATATAGAACAGTGGTGCTCTAAGCCCAGGGGTCTTAGCAGCCTTACCGACATCCCCTAACCCTATATGTATGTTTCATTACAGCAGCTGCAGTACATCTCCATCAAACCCAAAATTCAGTATCACATCACGGGTACTTCACTTAAGTTCAAAATGAATTTATATTAAACATTCTTCCTGAAATTTACAGCTCCCTGTGTCTCAAGAAAGTGTAGTTAAATAAAAGACACCTATTAAGTTCATGATCATCGTGAACAAATATCATCTCTCTCATTCCCCTAAGTGCAACATTCACAATTCTATATCAAGAACTCAGCCTTATCGCTCCTCGCTACCACCTACCCAACCAACCCACCAACCCACCAATCCATCAATCCATCAACCTCTCGCGCATGCACCTCTCCTTATAAAGAACAAAAGGGCAAAGCTCATCCGCACGGAAAGTCCCGCCTGTTACACGCATCTCCGCCCGCAAGCAACCCCGCCTCTACCCACTAGTCCAGCCCGTTGATTCTGCACTTTCGGCAATGGCAGCTGTCGGGATGAGTAATACATGCAGCGGCACGTTCAAATGGGAGTCTATTCCGGAATCATGATCATTGGAGTGTAGCAGTGCTACATGGCCCATATTATGTACATGCACTCAACATACTTGACAGCGCTGGATAGCGAGACCGAGATCTATATGTATAAAGTTATTGCTTCAATCCATGGGGTACGTGGTTGCGACGAGATTGTCCCATCTTGGCCTAGGGCGCCTCACAGGCTTTAGAATGGAAATGATACATATAACCACTTTCTAACACATCACCAAACCCATGGCCAATACAGCCCATGACTCCCCCCGCGCACAGAATAAGGCTACATACACGAGCATCATGTCAGCCCTACCGCCATCCTGCCGCCCCATAGATGATCCTCGGTACGTCTCCGCTCCGCGGACCCATACAACGATTGAGGCCTCCAGTCTCGCAATCTGCACTTTGGAAGACATGTATATGTCAAAGCGGGCTTCTACCTGAGCGCTCAGCTCCTGGCCCTTTTCGGGAAGCTTGTGCCATATGGTATCTCGACGCTTGCTGCTGGCGCCCTCGTGAAGTCTAGATCGGTAAACAAATCACGGGTTCGAAATAATCGCGGATATGGAGCTCCTTCAGTTGTCATACTCGCTGCCGATACGACCTGCCAGCCGCCACCAATAATCTTACGTGTTGTTTCGTTATGTTTTAACTAGGGCGAGAAAGAGATGAATTGGGACACCGCCGTGAAGGGCGGGGGGTGCCTATGGCTTGTATTTTCAAAACGAAATAAAAGCTATTTCTCAGTGCATCAAGTGGCGATATCCGCGATTCACAGCTATGTACTCAGCCATCTTTGTTTGCCACACTTTGTTTGAACGTCTCTGCTCTCCCAGCTCGCAGCTATTTAGGTTGATTCTGATTGGCGCTCCTCACGCCCACACTCGCATTGCTTTTTACGGTGCACTCCCCAATCAACCTCTTGATTGGGCTCGGTAGCGCTAGCGTAACACCCCCGTGCAGCAATAAGATCCCGCCATGCAGCAGATTGGTTCAGGACCCAGCCCCAGGAAACCACTTTTGACAGATGGCTCCATGGCACTTGCTTTACATCAACGTCAAATCAACGGTATCTAAGGGTGATGATCCCTTTTCCGTGATGGGTAATGACATCAATGTTTACATTGATTTCCATCAAGCCCATCTCGTATCTGGTAGATCCTGCGATGCCCCTATCAGACTGGGTATCTGGCCTTCGTTCAGCACATATCGTAGTTAAGTCGACCCTGTTAATTCAACTGAAGTTGACCTGTCAGGTTTCTACACGTGACGCGTGATGTGAGCAGTGTGTGCATCAAGTAGAAACTGCACATCTCGTTACGATTACTGTATCTCACTGGCTCGTGAACATTGCAGGCCGAAGAGCTTTCTTTCGTTCTCAAGGTTCTTGAGGGGCAAAGCGTCGGTACTCATACTCATATATGAGTGTCATGACGAAGTCCGCGCCTCACAATACTTCATTGGTTGCTTGATCCGTTTCTACTAGTGTTCGATACTGCTTTGTAGTGGATCTTTGTCAGTAGTGGTATGGTTTCTTTGGCACTGACGTTGATACAAAGGTTCAAGTACACACTAGCATTATGATGGCTGGGATGATTAGGCATTATACGTTAACACCTTGTCCTTCTAAAAATCAAAGTACCTATCCCAGTATGCCACGATATCAAGTTCTGTGTGCGCCATAGATACGACATAGTGCCGGATTTCTGCCTGTCGAAGTAGGGATGTAGTGCCGTATAATTGTATATTCTTGATACTTGCCCAAAAGAGTGTGGAGATGCTCTTTAGCTAAAGCTCTGATATGAGGAATAACAACCTTTCAGGACGATCTTAGCCTTTGATATGAGCGATATATTCAGTCAATCTGCATTTAGCAGTTCTATGACATCACGAGTTGTTAGATTCATGAAGCTTGCTACGAATGTCTCTGTCTAAATGATGTATGCTTGCTCTCAGCCCTTGATCGACGGAACAGACCTTCCCCCGGCTCCAGATGTCACAACTGGTTCGGGGCACATTATTGACAAGGCTGTCCAAAGTACACTTCTAGCTTTGGGGCTGAGAAGAAGGCATCTGATAGCCTTCAGAGTAGGAGGATTCATCATTGTGGGGAGAAAGATTCTGGAAATTCCGTATCTATAAAGACAGGCCTGTTCCCACCGGCAAGCCCTTTTCTCACAACACCATCTTCACTTCATTTACTCATCTTCCACTACTCAAATATCCTCCTAAAGATCTCAAAGGAAACTCACTCCAACTTTAACCTTCCAAATCCTATTCATCATGCATCCCTTTCCCGAAGCTCAAATGAGCACCGCTTCCGTGGAGGCCATTTCCAAAAACTACATCGTTGTCCTCAAGGAAGACGTTGAGGAAGAGAATTTCGAGACCCATGTCCAGTCAGTGATGTCCCATCACACGGACCGCATGAGTGCCAGCAGCACCGAAGACTCCAGTCTAGACGGATTGCGCGAGAGATGCTGCTTCGGCAGTTTCAAGTCCTACTACGGTGCTTTTCACCCAGACACTCTTGAGCATATCAAGAACAGCCCTGAGGTACGTTTTTACTAATCCCCACACACTATACATTCCCGAATGTTACTTCTAGTTGCACTCCTAACCCGATATGTGTCGATTATAGGTGGACTTTGTCGAACAAGACCAAATTATGCGAGTACAGGAATTTATCACGCAGAACACAGTTCCATCGTGGGGTCTTGCACGCATCTCTCATAGGGCTAAGGGTGACCTATCAAGCTACCACTACCACAAGTCCGCCGGCAAGGACACCACTGTTTACATAATCGACACTGGTATCAATATCAACCACGAAGAGTTTGGCGGTCGGGCTAAATGGGGAACTAATACGGTGGACTCTATTAATGATGATGAAGGTGGACATGGGACACATGTTGCCGGTACTATCGGCGGCACTACTTATGGTCTCGCTAAGAACGCCCAACTTATTGCTGTCAAGGTTCTTGGTGGCAAAGAGGGAACCGGATCCAACTCTGGTGTCATGAAGGGCATTGAATGGGTTACATCCAACGCCAGATCCAAGGGAAAATCATCAAAGTGTGTTGCAAACATGTCTCTTGGTGGTGGATACTCTGCTGCTCTCAACAAGGTCGTCAACGCCGCTGCTGCCTCTGGCATCACCTTCGTTGTTGCCGCGGGAAATGAGGCAGCGGATGCATCGACTACCTCACCAGCCTCCGCCGAGTCTGCCATTACTGTTGGCGCAACCAACATCAAAGACGAGATGACTGAGTATGTAGACCCCTGTCTCACTTTAGAACTGTTGTGACTCAATCTCTAACACAAACTATTTGATAGCTTCTCCAACTTTGGGCCCGCTGTCGATATCTTTGCACCAGGACACGAAATCACTTCGGCGTGGATTGGCTCAAACAACGCTACCAGGACCATCAGTGGTACCTCCATGGCAAGTCCTCATGTAGCTGGCCTGGCTGCCTGTCTTATCGCCGATGAAGGAATTTCGGGCTCAAAAGCGGTTACTGTTAGGATGAAGAACCTTGCAGTCCCTGGTTCCGTGACCAACCTTGCCCCTAACACCACCAGCAGGCTTGCCTACAACAACAGTGGTAAATAGATATAGCAATTCTGCCATAGTCTTTACGGAACTCAAAAGTAGGCCGCAGTGGGATTCTCTTCTCTTTGAGTTCAACGTTTCTTTGAATTTGCGAGGGTGGATCGTTTGATTTTTTCAGTTTTTCAGATTCTCACTAGCTATTTTGTTTTTCCCATTTTATCACAGTGTAACACAAATCAAATTAGCTTACCGTTTTAAGGAATCGAGATTCTCTTTTTAACTTACAAATTTTGATTCCAACTTTGCGATTGAGAGGTAGCTGATCTATAAACCTAACCCTACCCTATACAACAGTAGTATACATCGATGATTAGATTTTAGAACACTGTACGTACGAAAGCGATTGGAGCATTGTCAGAAGGTAACACCTATTTCATAGATGGATCGTTAGATAGAACGTCGTTTGCCATACCAGGTTCTATTCCCAAGAGTACTCCCGTCCTATCCATAAATAAAGGGCGTATTTCAGCCATCCAATCGATCCAAAGCACGGTACGGAGAGAGCACTCATCGTCTACCTAGCACCTCACCCATTTACTGTATCAATCCGCCTTCCCCATTAAACCGTGCGCGCGTGGTGACAAAGACGACAAGCGATGAAGCATGGACTGACTGGTGACGGTAGATGGGCGAGTGTTGAAACTTGATGAAGGTGGTGAAGATGGATCGAAGAAAAGATGAAGGGAGAAGCTTTGAATCCAGCCCAGCGTTGACACTGACATCTGCATACATGTAAGTATATGCAGGTGAGTGTGTGCCTGAGGCTCAAATAAGGTTGTAAGTATTCGAAAGTTCTGCCACACACTATGTCTTTAAATACATAATGTACCTTTTTCGATGACCCTGCATGATAGCAACCATGCATGGCCAGCCCATCCACGGCCACCCCCCAAGGGTATACCTGATATAACGGCACCGAATATTAAAACTTTGTAAAGTACGTGAATCTGGGGATATATAGAAATATCTACAGCTATCATCACGGAATATCAAAGCTATTATTCACGGGGGGTATAGAGAGGTGTCATTAAATCGTTCTATTAACTCATGTGTAGGTTAGTACCCTCAGCGGAATATGGGGTAATCGTTACTTAACTTCGCCAGCGGGGGAGAGGTCTTAGGAACGTACGGGGAGAGATAAATCAACTTGATCAAGGAGATAAATCGAAAAGATCAACAGGCATCCACACACGTATGCATTGAAAAACCACAACTCGCAGCCACGAGTTCAGCCACTAGTGCTAGTTGTTATACCCACCATTGGTACACACAACCCCCACCCCTACCATATATCCCACATAACACAGCCCCCACCACACAGACCACAGCTCCAATATTCTTTTACCCCCAAACAGAAACTAGCAAACCCGAGAAAAAGAGAAAAAAGAGAAAAAAATGAGGAAAGAAAAAGATAATCCCGTTCCAAGGTTAAGAGCAACAAAAAAAGAGGAATCCCGCTCTGCTCCTTTCCATCCAGTCACAGTACAGTATTTCTAGGAGGTGGACCGTTCGAACTACCGACCCCGGCCCCTCTAGGCGACACCAGAGCGGCAGGGCTACGGTGATAGTTGGTATATACATGTATTTTCTTAATCCGGCTATATAGGGGTGATGTGTAACTAGTGTACTACATGCATATATACCCTGACTTGCGTACGAAGCAGCCTGGCCACTTACTTATGTAGGTATTGAATATAGGTCTATCAACCTCCCTCTTTGCTCCTCTCTCCCTTTCCTCTCAGCGCTAATACCCACTACATCAAATGATACGCATATCACGAAACCTATAACTAGTTGGTAAATGGATGTAAATCAAAACAAAAAGAAATGGAAGAACTTGTGCTTGAGGGTTGACCCGCTGTTAGGCAAAATTTCATTCGAGATTATCTCAACTAGTGACGGCCATATACCAGGATTCCAAGCTTCCTTCTACAGGACTACATAAATAATCTCCGGATGGTTCTCCTGCCGTAACCCCGGACTATCACTAACGCTGAGTGCTTAATTCAGTTCGTACTTTGATTTCGATTTCTGTTCCAATTAAAGCTTGTACAGACGTAGATATATATCTCTAACAAAATGCCAACACATACGCTTTACCTCTCAACAACGAATCCACAAACTCCACCACCTCCAAACACTTCTCCTCTTCCAACCTCCCACCTATAACCTGCACCCCCGCCGGCCCCCCATGATACACATCAGGCTCATAATCCTCCCACACGGCCCTATCTATCTCATTAAGTGGCACATATCCCTCTTCCCTGAGATCAACGCTCCTATCCGCCAACGTGACCGGCAGCGTCGCCGCCACATAATCATGGAAGTTCCACACGAAAGTGTACCCCATGTACGGCATCTTTGCACTCGCCCCTCTGCGGACAGCCGCCCACGGTGCCACAGGTGCAATCACGGCGTCGACTCCACTGGCGCGCCAGTGGTCGAGGTGCTCCTTTTGTAGGGTGCTCTGGAGGTGCTGCAGCTCCCACATGGCGCTGGTAGAGATGTCGGTATCGGGGGAGGTAGACACGGCCTTGTAGGGAAGCATTGAGTCGTACCAGGGCTCCTGGGTCGCGTTGATTAGGCCGGGGACATTGTGGCCGCCATCAGCGGTTATGATTCTTCCCACAAGGGTGGTGATTTCGGCGTGTTTGAATGGTTCCCTATAGAGGTGTGAGTTTTCCAATACTGGACGATACTAATATCAGATTAAAACACTACACTCACCAGTCCACAACCTCCACCTCCCCCGAGTCTTCCAGCGCCTTCCTAACAATATCCACCGCCCTCTCCACCGGCGGCTGGCATCTCACAACCCCATCATTCCTCAACACCCCAATCCTCAACTTCCTCCCCACCGGCATCTGCCCCTCCCGCCATGGAATCGGCACACATCCCGGATCATACCTCCACGGCTCCGCGCCCACCACAGCCTTACAATACATCCTCACGCTCTCCAGCTCCGCTGCTATTGGCCCATTCACCATACTGATTGCCCGTTGCCCACTCAAGCCACCCCTCGCCCCCATCACCGGGAACCTCCCAGACGACGGCTTCAGCGAATATAGTCCCCCCCAACTCGCCGGGACCCTGATGCTCCCGCCGAGGTCTGTTCCGACGCCGATCGGGGCGCCGCGCAGCGCACCGAGCACACCCTCGCCTGTTGACGATCCCCCGGGGGAGAGAACCTTGCTGAATGGGCTAAGAGTCTGCCCCCAGAGGCGGTTCTGGCCCTCAATCATCATCATACCGGTAGGCACGTTGGTCTTGACGTGGCCTGGGATTGCGCCGAGGTCGCGGAGGAGCGTGACGAGTATGGACTCGGGGGGTGCGGGGGACTGTGCGGCGGACCACGCAGTGAGGCCCAGAGAGGTGGAGTAGACGGAAGGGTAGATGTTGAAGCAGTCCTTGAGAGAGATGGGGAGACCATAGAGGGGGCCTCGTGGAGCAGTTGGGGTAGTGTCAAGGCTTTTTGCGAGCGCGCGAGCTTCAGGGATAGGGATTTCTGTGAGACAGTTTGTCTATCGCCGCTACTGTCAGCTCTACTACAGAAACACGCCCCAGCTTACTGGTAAAGAAGGGCGGTATACCGCCTGGTGCGCAATCATTGCAGCTTTAATAAACGCCTCTGTCACCTCCTGCACACTCCACTCGCCGGCGCTGGTCTTTGCAACGATGGTTGGCGCGGAGGAGTTTATTATTGTGATCTCAGCGGGGGTGAAGAACTCCTCGGAGCGAGGCAGGTGCGTGATGTTGTGTTGGGAGTTTAGCTGCGAGAGCTGCCCGGAGGTGAGCAGGTATTCAGTTGGTATTTGGGCATCGCGCTCTTTCAGCTTTTGCTGCGATATCTGCTGGTAGGGCGGGACTGTGGCCATTGTAAGGTGGGGTATGGAGTAGCTGTGAGGAGAGTGTGGAGTAGCGGTAGTGGTAACTAGGTATCTTGTCTCTCTACTATCTGGCTATCTAGATACTACAACCAGCAGCATGCTTTATATTTCACCGTATACCACTAACAATTTATTATACCATGCTATTTACCTATCTTTAGAAGAAGACAGACCCACTAACGCAGCTCTTCCCGCCCGCCTCCGTCCGCACACATCTTTACTCTGGCCAGGCAAGAATAATACTCTGCTTCCAATAAGCAATACAAAGCTCTGTGCGAATGATATAAACCCTCTCGGACCCACTAAATACACCATTGGCTGCAGACATCCGAGACATTACCAAGGCATCGGGGATCAGCGAGTCATATGGCTGCCGATCTTGTAAGCAGTTGTAAGAGTAGCTCTGGTCCTTGGAGACAAATGATATAGCACTAATGAGACAATTTTATGGCCGTTTCTAGCCTGGAAGGACGTTGGGCATTTTTCTTTTAATTGGGAATGCTGTATTTTGTTATGGTGTTTACCGGCGAGAAATAAGCAACGTAAAATAAGAATGGTTCACAAGGACCCGAGAAATGTTTGAAGTGGAGACGGTTTGACAAACTGCCCGATACTGACTAAATAGATAGCACATAGCAAAAAAAAAATATCATATTAATCGCAACGACGGCATTCTGTTTTTTCAAGAAACCCCACAAGTATGTAAATCCATCTCCAAATGTAGAGTGGGTCAGGGTTAGGGTTATACCTGACTTATTTAGCCTCTTTCTTTTACCACCTCCATCTAAGTCTACGGCCAGGTCTCGATGGAACCTCTCGCTCTGTAAGCCCCCAGCGAATATCCAAGCACTGCTATGGAGTCTCAAACGCCTTACCGGCTGAACATGCCTATATGTTCCTCCAACCCGACGGTTTGAACGTCCGCAAAATAAGCACACTGTCAGCAGCTTACTGCCCATAGGGATGGTACGAGACGATATCACACTCCATCCCTGTACCAAAAGCACACCACCCTTAGGCCTAATCACTAGGCTACCGCATACACCCACCAGTTACCCAGCAGGATGAGAACAGCGGGAGTGGAGGAGGTAGTGTGAGTGAGTGAATACTGCCGGAGCGGGGTCATCTACGGCAGCATATATGTACATACATGTATCTTCATTTGCGTGGTCAATGATGAGCACCGCGGTACGCGTAGGTAGCACGATCGGTGGGCCGTGGTCGGCCGTGCCGCGTATGCAATTAATAGCCACGCCCTATTAAGTACAATTAATGCTTGTGCTTCTCCTGCTGCCGCATATCATCTCCTATCGGCGGCCATCTCGCTGGGGCCGAGTCTACTGACATTACGGAGCAGAAGTGTCTCATTCCGACGCGTGACACTAGCGGGTGATAGCTCATGACCGTCTACTAAGCACTAGAGTACTTCCCAATGCAGACGAAATAGTAACAACAACCGATTAGTAACCAATTATTTGTTAACCACCTCCCAACCCAGCCGCACCACCGCTCTGCCTGGCTCATACAAGAAGAGGACTCGACTGCCGCTTATTACAGTTACAGAAATCGAGGCAGCAGCAGTCCTATATAAAGGTTGGCATGCTAGGTTTTCCGGTGAGCCGACGCCCTTAATTCCGATCCGACCGACCACTAGGAGAAAAAACCGCTCAACGATATATACCCACAAAACAGATCTAGCACATATATATATACCGAATGCCGTCCACATAAAGAAGTTGACGGACAAGGTCTTTCCCCGCTCGGCAGCGGTGCGTCCGTATGACGGCAAGCGGACGGGGGCAGCACATATCTGCCACTAGTTAGTAGAAGATCGAGGAAGCTGAGGTGGGGAGAGGTTTTCCTCAAATCTTCAAATTTCGATATCTACTGTCGAACTCGATGCTATAACCTCAGCCCGTGTGCTAAGGTTTTTCGATCACTTAGATATAGATCCCAGAATTAAGAACCAAAGTTTCCACTATGCAGTGCGCCGAGTGTCTCGAACTATCTAGCTAGCTGGGAGGAGAACAATGTTGATTTTTGATCCGCGAGACATGCGTCGGTCTGGCCGGCTGTCTATGTATGTACTTTTTTTTTTTTTTTTTTTGTTTAATTCATACTCGCATGCAGCCTTACAGCTTATGTATTGTAGATACCTACTACGTACATAAACGACTAAACCACGAACTATGCAAATGTATTGCTACCCCATACGTACCGATCGCGTGGATTTTGGGGAATGAGTAACTACATGTACTACAGGTTGCATGACGATATATTAGTTCTGACTTGGGTGTACAGCTAGACAACGCTTAGCTAGATCCTATCTGAACTCCTCTCTCTCTCTCTCTCTCTCCCCTATGGGGCTCCCCTCTCTTCCCGCCCGCATCTCCCACCTCTCTCTATACCCCCCTTTCCCACCCTCCCATTCCAATCTCCCACCTCCGCACCGCCTACACGCCCCAACCACCGCACAGTCCATCACTCGTCCCTCCGATCCAAGGTCTTGGCAGGGTCATAGGTTACGTGTACCCCTCTTGGCACCACTCCGCCCTCCAACCCTCGTTTTGTCAATGACACTCGCCCGCTCAGTCACTCGCACTCACTCACTCGCGACCCTCACCCGCCCACTACCAACCGACTCTTAAACGTCCACCATTCACCCCCACCTTCACCATGATCACGTATAGTATATGTGCTACCAATTAACTATAGATCTAGCGCTATATTCAGATTTTTCTATCTACAACACACAACACACAACAAACACACAACCAAAAAATGGGTTCGCTCAAGGACCAGAAAGTAGTAAAAATAAAAATAAAAAGTAAAGTAAACATTAACAAGAACAAAGAACATAAACGCAACAAGAAGATACAAAAAAAAAATGATACGGATACGATACAGAAGATAGTTTTCTACAGCATAGAAAATATGTGCCAAGAGTTGGATATGGCACATACAGCAGAGGAGGAGGAGGAGGAGGATTCTTTTTTTCAAAAAATAGAGCAAGGCAGGTAGGTGCCCCTAGGGGGTATTAGCAACAAAGGAACCAACCCGTCCTGAAAGAACATAATAAACGCACACCACACAAAAAAAAAGGGCTGTGAAAAAAACAAAACACCTCCCTCCCCCTTTCCCCCAGCACTCCACATCATAGGATCCACGGTCTCCCAAAAAGAAACAAAAAGAAAAAAATCCCAATTCCGGACCCACTAATATATAATAAAAAGCGCACGAAACCAAAAAAAAAAAAAAAAAAAAAAAAAAGACAGAAACACCACTATAAGTACAACCACCGTCTGTCTAGTTCTATCCCCTCAGCAGCCAATACGTCAAGCTCAACAACAGTCCCAGCACAATCGCCGTCAATATGCCCGCGCCCGCCTTATCCCCCGTCGTCGACGGGTCCGTCTGCAGCTTACTCTCCAGCGACCCCGTCCCCGTACCCGCCGCCGGATCACCCACACTCGTCCCCCCCGTGGTGTTCGTCACCGGCGGGACCGCCGTCGTGATGAAGTTTGCCTGTAGGATCTCCATGACCGAGAGATGCTCGCCGAGGCCGCCGACAGCAATGCCGTACGGTGAGCTGTCGTATGTCTTCTTGACCCACGCGAGGCCGCACACCTTTCCGTCTGAGCCGCCGTTGCATGTTGCGGCGGCGGCGACGGCGCTGGCTTGCAGGCGCGGCAGGATCCAGGACTGGGTGAAGGGCGCCATCTGGTAGGTGTAGGCCAGGAAGCGGGAGAGGTAGGCCTTGAAGGAGCGCTGGTCGGTGTTGCATGTGGCGGCCTTATCGCTGGGGGCGGGGTCGCAGGCGGACTCGCGCATGATGTAGTCGGAGGTGAAGAAGGGCGATTGGATGGCCTGCATGAGGTTGTTGGTTTCGTTTTCCCATTTTGCGTCACCGTCGGTCTAGATTTATGTTAGCTATAAAAACCAAAAAGAAACACGGGGAAATGAGGGGAAATTACATAGTTGTACATGAAGGCGGCACCAGCGAGGTAGACACCGGCATTGTACGACCACTGATAGACCTCAGTGACCGGGCAGTCGGGCTCCATTCCATCGCCATTCGTGTCCGTCGGGATATGCGACCCATCATAGACCTTGTACTCGCTCGAGATGATTCCCGTCGTCTTTGACCAATCATACACCTTCTCCGCCCACTCCGCATACGTCGCATTCCCCGTATACCTCGCCAGCCGTGCGCCCATCTGGAAAAACAGCCCGTTGGAGATGGCGTTCTTGTAGTCGTACCCAGCGTTCGTGGAAACCACCTGCCACCGCAGCCCACCGCCGCAGTTGAGCTCGTCCCAGCGTGACGCCTGCCTGTTGAACACGGCCATGGCCAGCGTGAGCCATTGCGGCTTGTCCGACGGCGGGTTCGGGAACACGCGCTCGGCCGCCGACAGCACTGCAAGCGCCCAAAAGGCCTGATCGTCGTTACCGAGGGAGAGTGTCTGCGCGGAGGGCTCGTAGTTGTCGTCCTCGCCGACCTGGTTGAGTAGTGCCGTCGTCACGATATCGTTGAACTGGTCGTCGCCCGTGTAGTGCCAATACTCGACCCAAGCCTAGAGCAGAGAACGAAAAAACTAAATTAGCGACATGGCGCAAACAGCAACAGCAGCAGGGAGCTCTCATACCCCCATTGCGGCACCAGCCTCCCACCAGTAGTATCCCTGATTGTTCTTTCCATCGGCCGTCTGGATGAGCCCAAACTCACCGGCCACGAACCAGGTCTCGTTGTCGGGGTACAGTGCGCGGAGCTTCAGGGCGACCTCTTGTGTAGCGGCGAACAGAGAGTCTGCGTGGGGGCCATCCATGTCAGCGTCACTCTACACCACACTCGGCGGGTACAAATAGGGGCGTGTAGCCGCCGCCGCTCAACGCAAAGCAACAGCAACAGCAACACACAACACACCTTGGTTGGTCGGGTCAACATCGATGGCCACAGCAGAGCTCGAGAACAGGGAGGCCGTTAGCAGTGCTGTAGAAGCGAGTGCTCGTGTGAGCGAAGAGAACTTCATGATTGCGAATTCTTGTCGCGAATTCTAGCGAGTGTGGGTGGGGGGTGGTGGGTGGAGTGGGTGTGGCTTCGTTATATTGAATCTGGCGACGGGAGAGACAGGCAGAGGCGTTCTTGATGAGCTACTGCTGCTGCTTCTGGGTGAGTAGGAACGAAAGGAAGGAAAGAAAGTAGGAAAGTAAGAAAGTAAGAAAGAGAGTGAAAGAGTGACTGAGAGTGAGTGAGTGAGAGAGCGAGTGGGCGCAGACGTGCTGATGCGATCTTCGACCAGAGAAGAACTTGGATAGACACCCTGCAGGTTGTTGTTGGAACTTAACGAAGGTGGTGCACCAGGCTGAGTGAGAGAGAGAGAGCAGGTAGGTAAACCTAGAATAGGGCAAAAAAGCAAATCAATGTCAGGTGCTATGTAATGAGAGTAAAGCCGACCACTGCACTTTGGGCAGGCAGGCAGATCTGATTTGATAGGATCGTGGGGTGGGATAGATGAGATAATGATGAAAGGGGATGGAGGGGGGGGGGGGGGTAGTGGAGGGGGGAAGAGGATAGAGAGTGGTCCTCCTTCACTATGATGATGCTGATGATGATGGGACGAAGCAGTAGGGGGAGGGGGTGGTGTAAGGCCTGCAGACTTGACGAGAAACAACCTGCTGCAGGTAAGAAGTTACGAGGACAGATTTGGGGGTGGGGTATGTGTACTTACAGCCTTAACGAAAGGAGCACAGGAAACTTAAAGAGAGTGTATGTATTCCTGTCTCTTTTCTTTCTTTCTTTCCAGTCGAGTCTTTTGTGAGAGGTATTATCAGTCGAGACGGAACAGTGACTTCCCTCCCCCTCGAGAGAGTAAGAGCTGGGGAAAGGGTCCAAGATCCAGGGGCTAACTCCCTGTTCCCTATTCCAGCCAACGTGAAACACACGTATGCCCAGAAACGAGCCTCATCCCCCTACCTGTTTGCGTTTGCGTCTTGACATTGGGGCAGTGCAGTGCAGTCGTGCAGTTGCTGCAGTTGAGTCCCTTCCATCCTTTTGTTCCCTTCCTTACCTTCCCTTCCCCACAGTACGAGAAAACGCCCAGTAAGCCGCGTATGCGATCACCAGTTCTTTATTTACCACGGTGCATCATGTACCAGATCAGAGGGAGAGAGAGAGCGAGCGTCAACTCACATTTCTGTGTTTTTTTTTTCTGCTTGAGCGTTTTCTCCAGTGCACCGCACGAGAGTAGAACTCACCTCCAACTCGCGCGTCTATGCATGTATGCACCCAGCTCATGTCCTATGTGCATCGTGCAGCAGCAGTGCAGCGCCGTTCAACGGTGCGCCCAACCCAACCCATCCAAACGAAGCGCCCACTCACTGCATGTAAGTAATTGCCAAATTTATCCCCCTCCATTCCTCTCTTCCTCTAATTTAACCACTCTATCCCCTCTCAAAGACAAACCCGTTTCCGTGTCTGTGCCTCCACAGCTAGCTACACATCCCTTCCCTCCCCTCTCCCCCGAAATAATTCTCCGACCGCAGGGTTAGGGTTCCTGTGTGCAGCACACCCACAGTGACCCACCCAAGAGTGTTTGTAGCTAGGCACCCTGCAAGTCCTTCTTGGGACTTACGAAGCACCTCTTGGAGACTGACGATTTCCACCCTCTCTTTCCCCCCTCTTCCCCCGCACCGTAAGCCAGAAATACCCGCAAGTTACATGAATGTATGTTAGTATTGTATGTAGGGCCCTTATTTTAGTCCTGTACTCACATGTATGTAGGCGGACGGAGGCCCGAAATTTCAATGACGGAAATAGGAAAGTGCCTATCGATCACGTTTCGGGTGTGAGGGAAGGAATCCATGTTCGAACCCTTCCACTTCACTGCTCGCCCGGACAACCCGTTGATCAGTGATCCTGGGCAATGAGAAACGGGTATGGTGGAGGGATTTGTAACGGTATTGCTATTTCCGTTGTGTGTGTGTGTGTGTGTGAGCTACTATTCTACTATTTGCGTCGAATGCGGGATAGCTGGAATGTATGTGCCAGAAGCGGTAGAGTTCTCTACTATTATCCACTATAATGCTAGCTATTACTACTGTTTCCAAAAGTGATGTCTCTCTGTCTGTCACGCACTCCAAACGTCCCACCGCGAAACACCGACGCATCTGCCGCCGCTCATCAAACACTCCCCCTGCCCAGTCCTTCTACTCCCACTGCCTCTCTGGGAAAATATATCCCCGGCCCCTCACTTATAGCCAGCGGAATCAACCAGCTAGCACCATCCCAGCGCGCGGCTGCGGCGACACTACATCCATACCCTCCGCATCACCGCCACCACCCGACGTCATCCACAACTCACTCGACACTGCAACTCCCCACCACCGAGACCGGCATCGACAGCCCATATCCCACCGCGTGAGTGCCGGGCAAAAGCAGCCAGTCTATAACAACTCCTTCTGCCCCCTTTCACCCGCCCGCATCGTCACAAGCCGTCGCATGCGGTCAGAAGCCCACGGTGATGTAGTGGATCCAGAGGAGCTAGTAGTTAGCCCACATCCCCTCCCCGCCTTCCCCGCCATTTCCACGAATCCCAGACGGTCCAGGCGGCGTCGTAACATCTCCGGCGCTTGTCATTGGCAATACTGTCTGGGGAAATACCGCGCGCGGCCCCCCCCCCCCCCTATATACCCATCTACAGCGCTAAACCCACGACCGCGCCGCAGGAACGACCGGAAAAACTCTCACTTCGACTTCGAGTCGCAAGCGGCGGCTCGGATCGTGGCATCAATCCTACCGCCGCTGCTATAATTACAACCAGAGCAGTTAGCATGGTCCGCCAATATATCACAGGCCGTATGGTACAGGGGCTTGATCAGGCCAGAGTTTTCCATGCTGTGGCTGCGGGGAGTTAAGCACGCGGCGTAGGGTTTTGTGTGGGAGAGAAGTCTTGGTGTGTATTCCGGTGCTGCGGTCTGTGGGGGGAGTGTGGTCTGGAAGGTTGAGAGATAGGGGTGGAGAGGGGAATGTGGGCGATGTGAGGGCTGAAAATTCGGTCTTGGATTGGTGGGGGTTTGGATATTGGTTATGTATGCTCACTGGCCTATGGAGGTGTCCAAAAGGCTCCCTCCCCCCCCCCCCCCCCCCCCAACAAAAAAGGCCAGACATAGCGTCAAGATCGGTGGCAGATTCGACTACAAACTACAAGCAGCCTGATCGAGCAACCAGCTATCTCTGCCAAAAGTAACATATCTTGGAACCACCCTACTTCCTACGCAGAAATGATTCCCCCAGTGACAAAACAGCACAACTAAAAGTCCATACCAGAAGTCCCCAACATTATACATCGCCCCCGCCGAACCAACCGCGCACAGCACCCAGGACCGAGAACACAAACTCTTGCTAAGATCGTAGAACTGGCGTGGTATGCTATGGTATTCCATAAAGAATATCCACAGCGCCAGGCCTCACGCATAACCCCCCACAGGACAAAAAACACCCTACGCCGAGAACACAAAAACACGCACCCGAACCCCCAGGAGTCGATTGGGAATAATCAAAACCACAAGTACATACTCTACGTAAATACCAACCTATTCTATAGCAACACACAACAGCTACCGCAAAAATTTAGAAATAGCTGCCCTCCAGCTTATTCTGCCCCTCCGAATACTTATGCTGCTCCCCATCATTAGTCACCCGAGTGTAAAATCATTGTCAGGCTCACTAGAGGGTTGTTGTCCAATATCCTGCCCCCTTACTAAGCTGCCCCCCAATCATCAAGCCCGGGCAGGCATTTCCAATTTTTTGCGGTAGCTGCCATCACAAGAAGGATCCCACCCACTCCAAAACTCCAAAGCGCACTCACACCCCGATACCGAGCACGTGCCAAGCTCCACAAACCGCACACCGGATCACAAACCATCACTCGCACGCTGCCGGCACACACCGGCCCGGTACCGGTACCGGCACCCTTTAAATTTTCCACCACCACCACCGGGGTCTACGCATATCCACCGCACTCCGGCCAGAACTCAAAACAAAAAAACATATTGATTAGTTAAATAGCATAGCATGTCGATCAACCAGATATTGATATATTTTCCAAAAACACACGTCGTCGTATATAAATTTTTAAACGTAACCCCCAATTGCAATAAAACTGGTATCGATTGGCCATAACAGTGATATGATCCAGATGAGCATGTGGTAGATGATGGTATAGAGCGAATCCGACAAAAAAAAGAAATCTTTAAAAAAAAAAAAAAAAGAGAAAAACCCAGCCAAGAGATAGAGATAGAGAGTGTGTAAGGAAAAGGAAAAAAAAACTACAAATTTAAAGGAAAAAAGCCACACCAAACTCCACCCAACCCCAACCCACCCAGCAGCCCAATGCGAAAAGCCCTCATTTCAATCATTACCCTCTCCCAATCCCACATCCCACCCACCACCCAAATCCAACCCCAACCCCACTACCTTCGCCCCCCCTCTCAACCTCCCTTTCTCTTCCCCGTCTCCTCTAACCCCCTACCAATACCCCTCCTCCTCCCCTCCCCCGCGCCCATCGCCCCCTCGTCCGCATACTCCTTACTCCTGCTCCTCCTCCCCTCGCTCCTGCCCATGATACACGCGCCACACCAATACAGCCCCACCACCAGTATCGCGCCCACGGCGCCCCACGTGAGCCCCAGATACTCCACGCTATACTCGGCCGTCACGCCCACGTCGCGCAGCTCGCGGTTCGCCGTCTCCGTCAGCTTCACGGCCAGCGCGGTGCCGACGGCGGAGGCGATGCCGAGCGCGAGGAAGCCAATCTAGCAACAAAAACATATTAGAACAAAACCTCCGAGAATAATGATGGAGAGGGGGGGTGGAACTCACGGTTGCAAAAATCCAATTACAGCACGCCACGCCCCTGCCACCACCACCACAGCCGATGAGGCCCGCCATGATACATATCGCCGCCGCGCCCGCGCCAATACAGTACGTGACAAACATGACCTTATACGCGATATTGAGCGCCTCTACGGCGGTATTCACGTCCTCCGTCGGGAACCCAATATCATCGAGTGTGATGCCCAAACCGGTGGCATTGAGCTCCTTCTCGAGGATGGTGACGGGGTCGAAAGTGAACATTGGCCGCGAGGTGCAGCGTGTGATTGACGTGGAGTTGGCGGCCTCGCAGTAGCCGATCGGGTGGAAGGTGTAGGCGTTTGCGAGGCCGAGGGCGGTGGCGGCGGAGGAGATGAGGGAGGAGGAGAGTTGGGAGGTGAGGGTGTCGACGCTGGCGATGCCGGTGGTGGGGATTGTGGCGTTGGCGCCGATGTTTGTGGTGTTGAGCTGCGGGGTGTTAGTTTGAGGGGGTAGGAAGGTGTTGAATTAGCTTACTCTAATGATGTAGACATCTGTGAGGAAGTCCTTGTCGCGGCCAGAGAACAGCACGAGACATGTGAGGGCCAGCGCGACCGTCGACAGGACGATCGGGACGATGGCGGAGAAACGCATAGCTGTCTGTTATTGCTGTGAGGTGTCTTCTTCTCACTCTGCGATCAGGATACTCTTTGATGGGATTTAATTAAAACGAACAAACAGATATGGATGGATGGATGGATTGTAGTGAGATGGAACAATAGGATTTAACGATCGAACGAGCAAACAAGTATCAGGTATCAAACCACAGACAGACAGCACATCTATATACCCTCTGTCTGTCTGTCTGTCTGTCTGTCTGTCTGTCTGTCCATCTTCCTCTCCTCCCCACCACCACACCGGCGGTGAAGTGCCTGATGAACCGGTCTGTGGCCAGCTCTCCAGTTACAGGGCCACCCACAGCTACACCGTGCGTCTAGTAAGTAACTACATGTAGGCGATGCACTTCAAATCAGGGAATTAGGAAACCAATTACTCGAGCACCGACCGCCATCTCTCTGATATTATCGAGAGGTTCCAAGATTCCATGACGGAGTGCAACCCACAACCCCTGTCACCTCGGGTGTGTGTGTGTCCCCATTACGTATGCCAGTTACTCCCCCGCGAGTCGTCGTCACGCACGAGATTGCGGAATCTCTCTTAGGTACGGAAAGTGCAGGTACATACGGGATACAATACGATACGATACGAGGCGGTCCGCGGATGGAAGAGAAGATCCTCCCCTCCGCTACTGTCTGCGACCGACCCACGCAATTGATCAGATCGATAAGATAACACCATCCACCAACCAGGTCCATGGCTACTAACAATAGTAGCAACGCAACTCTTCACAACCTCTCACTCGCGCACATGTCCGCATAGGACACGACAGACAGACAGACAGACAGACAGACAGACAGACAGACAGACAGACAGACAGACAGACACAAGACGCGTATCCTCCCTCACCTCACCTCCACCATCACCAAAATCTCCATCAGCACTGCCTTGGGCAAACCAAGGAAAAGAAACCTAGATCAATGTACCCAAGGAAGCATTCGCCTTATCCGGCAGTTTTGCATCGTAGGAAAAGACCCAATTCCAGCCAGTCAACAGAGAGTGAGGCACCCCGCTCCATCAGCACAGAGCTTACACCACGCCCACCCACCCCACTCCAAGGCCAATCTCGCTCGACACACATGTGTACTCTATATACATGCGTGCACGAGCAAAAGCCGCACATGTACTCGCGGTTGAATCTCCGTCGGTAATCTATCTAGCTGGGCAGCTTATACAGGCAGCCAGAGACGACAGCGACGCGCGTATCAAAGTGCAGAAACAACAACAACAACAAAAAAAAAGGCAGACAAGATGAACGGATGGTGGTGGCACCGGATAATATAATATGGCAAGGCAGCGCGATGGTGCTTTGTCAGCGTGTGTAAAGTTAAAGTAGTGCCCAGAGAGGGACCCTGGGAGGGATGGAGATGGAAGGGTGGGTTATGCCGATCGATAAGTGACGGGTATGAGTTTGTGGATTTGTAGGTTTGCGGGTTATGGAAGGCATGTGCTTGGTACATGTAGGTTATAGTGGCTGAGAGTATGGCTCCAGCATGCGCAGATTGTGGCCGGTAGTAAGCCGTAATTGGGGGTCGGGGGGTCTAGAGTTGGTAATCACAATAGACATGGCCAAAAATGAAACAATGGAATTCAACAGCAAACCTGAAACCGCTATGGAATTTAAACTACGAAATTTCGAAACTACATCCCCGGATAAACCAAAAACAATCCCTATCTATACCAATCATCACAACCAGGAGGATATATTCCCCCATATGGAAACGTTTCCAATACAGTGCAATATCACACAGAGCTAGAGAGATGCTATCAAAGTATTTGCGTAAGAGTCTATTAAGCTACGTGTACCAAAAGACAAACACCAGGACCCCCCGTAATTCTAGTATAGCAGACATATGAAAATTTTATACACAAACAGAACATGGCCACATTACCATTACCCCTCATAAGAACCGATGCAAATAAGCCGACCCAGAAGAACCAAGACAAAAGAAACCAAGACAAAAGAAACAACAAAAGAAACAAAAAACCAAAAGAGTGTCAAGCCCAGAGAAATGTCAGGCTCCATCAAATCATCGCGCAGAAAACGAAACACGCAATCCACCTCCCCCAGCAGTTAGCAGTAGCAGCAGCATCAAGCTCACAAAGCATTCCTTAGAAGCCCCATAATCAACATAATCCCCACGCATGAACCCCGGTCGGTATATGTAGCCCAGATATGACCATCCACCACGCTCCCGCAGATCATCCATCCCCCGTTGCCACCGGCGCCCGGGATCTCCCCTGCTGTGCCGCGGACCCCCCAGACCCCGGTAAGCCGTGCGAGTCTATTTCCCAATATTACAATGGCAATGTCAACCACTCGGTCTATCGGTCGGTCCAGTCCATCGCAGTGAAGTCAAGCCTTGGCCATAAGGCCCATGCCGGTACATGCTTGTTCGAGCCCGATTCTCTAGCTATCCAGCTACCGGAGGTATTTCCAAGCCCTATCACACCCCCCATTAACATCCTCTCCCTTCCATACACACCCACTGCAGCAACATAATACATACCAGCTAATCATCTCGCGCACACCACAAAAAGCAGATCTCCCCCCAGGTCGGCTTTCATACATTTCAAATTCAAGGCCACCCCGGGCCATAAAAGACCTCGACGAACCTCGACCCCTCGATCCCCGCGTTCTCGTAGCCCAGCACCTTATAGCTCAGCAGGCGGCTCGCATACAAGCTCTGCCGTATCGCGCGGGCGACCTGGGCCTCGGTCGGCGGCGGGCGGGACTTGAGGTGGTGGTCCCAGGTCTGGAGCTGCGTGATGAAGTCTGGGGTGCTGGTGTATGGCAGGATTGGGAGCGGAATGGGGAGGGAGTGCATAGCTTTCTTTACGTGTTTGTTCGTTTTACTTGTGGTTGTAGGTGTTGTTGTTGTTGTTGTAATGGTAGCGTAGGTAGATATCGTGGACGTTGAGGTTTTTGTCTTTATCGTAGGTATTGAGTATTGCATACTGGTGTTGAGCCGGTGCAGTACAGGGGGGGCGAGGAGGGCAGCCAGATATATGTCCAACGCCCCCAGCCAGTCCCGAGGAACCACAGTGGCAATCACACTCCTCACTGGGACGCCCGCGGAAGGAAACCGTAGCCTCCAGAGCCTTCACGTTTGAGAAGGGGAAAAAAAAAAAGAAGTGTTCACAAAGCAAGCAAGCAAAAAAAAAAATCCAATTGCCCAGCTGCAGGACGAATCATGCCGTCATAGGGTCCCAGGGCCAAAAATATCTTGATTTCATCCGCTCCCAGGTCCGCACTACTATTCAACTGGCTGAGACGAGGCTCAGCCACTGCCAGCCTACCACCACACACCCACTTGACAAACCTAGCAACAAACACCAATTAAGAATCCTACCCTCTACTATTTAAGGAGAGCGGATATGACTGTTAATTCATGCCTTCTTAACCGCCTTCCGTCACCAGACCAACCAAGGAGTGGCATGTTCATGACACAGCACCGCCACACTTGGCGCCACACTGTTAATTTAACCGCGTGAACGGCACAGTAATAACCGTCGAGTGATAGGCTGTGTGTCAGACCGCCGCCGTTAACTGCGAGGGCCAGGCCGGGGGGTCCTTTGCTGACATTCTTGTGCTGTTACTATTTATAGGTTCCCCGGCCCCGGCTCCATCCACGACACTGCACACCCCCCCACCGGCCTGGGACCGAATGGCATGTAGGGTACATAGGTATACAGACCAAGATGTGCATGTATGATCGACCGGTGATCTTGGCGGGGGTGTGAAGGGTCGTAAGGTGAAACGTGCGGGAGGGTAACGTGCTGGGTGGTGATTGGGGTTGTTGTGGTGGATTGTGAAGCAGGCCGCGGAGATCGGGGGTGGATGGTTTCTGAGTGCGATCTATATCTAGGGGGTTGACTTACTTGCTAGCTGGTTGCCCTGCATATTATATGTGGTGGTGGTTGGCTACATAACTCAGGTACTGGATCGGTAGGTGGGTGTGATCCCTATTTACCATCAAAGTGCAGGACGTTAGCACTAGTTGTTCGGCCCGGGTGAGAAAACTCGCTGTTCCTGACTCTGGGGACTTGCCTTGGAGGGCTAGCTAATGATAAAGAGTAGGTACAACCCACTTGAAAGACTCAGGTCGGTGTCAGTTCGAAGTGAGACTGTACTGTGTCAATGAGCAGCAGCGGTGGGAGTGTCCGTGATGATGGACGCTGACATTAATGAGATGGAATCCAGAACAGCATGAAGAATGGAGGTTAAGGCTCTCTGGCCCAAGTTCTGCAGCACGGTGGATGGATTAATTTAGTTTATCCGCTTATCAGTTACAAGTTGGGCTATATAGCCCGTGCGTGTGTGTGTGCTCTAGATCGACCTCATGTGGGACTGGAGGAGGGCGCGCATTGTGGGCCAATCGTGACTACATGCACTATCACATTTGAATATTCACTTTCTGCTCTACTTGCTATACATGGATATATAGTTTCTCCAGATCCTGAGTTCAAACATTAACTAAACGTGCGTAAAACACAATCATGATACACGGTGCAAGTGCAGGTGCGAAGTATCTACTGGGGGTGCCCACATACACACAGGATCAATTGATCGCAGTCACTGAGTAAGCACAGTACAATTGGTCATATATGACATCATATATAGGGCCGATAAGCACTTCTATCCCACTATATTTGGTACAAGTATTAATACACAGACAATTGGGAGAAGTTATAGGCGCGATTAAACCTCAAACCCCCTCCTCCTTTTCTCTCCCCACATTTAAAAAAAATGCGTTCGAATTATATCTACCAATCTTTATTTAAGCTAGCTAGGCGGTTCCGCAATTAAAAAGGTTATTCTTACTACGCCTATAGCATGAAGGAACGACGCGGGGTACTAAAGCACAATAAAGCAAATGGCCCGATAGTTGAGAATTTAAAGGTCGCGTGGATTGCAATTGACACTTACCGCATGCACACCTTCCGCGGAGGTCGGTCGTTGGTTCTACTCGGGATCTCTTATATTAAGAATTTAGTCAGATACGCGCGTGGAGATAAGGATCTTTCTTTTTATATGAGAAACCTTCCCCGACTTCGGGCGTCTATCAGTGATAATACCCCCATTTATTTTCTTATCTTTAGATTGCAAGCGGCGGTTGGAGGGGATCGAATTTTCGGGTAGCCAGATAGATATTGCCACAGCCTTATGAACTTAAGATTGTAGCTAATGGGTTAAAAACAGCCATAGCCTTTCAAACTTAAGGCCACCTACAGTTAATGAGTTGATAACGGCGGTGGTATACCCAGGGTTAGGGTTACAATATATGTGGCCAAATAATAATTACGAACAGCTATGTATACGCACAGGTGTGCAAAAGCGCCCAGAGCTAGAAAATATCTCGATACCCTACTTCGCTGGCTGAAATTCTTTCACATGTCGGCGTCCTTTGAACCGAGTGATAATCCATGAATGCACTGCCACCCCAGCTGAACGTGGCGGGCAGTGTGGTCCACGACGAGTGACCTTATGTCTTTGCCTTGAGTATGTGACTTCCGTGGTATATAAGGCCAGTAGTCTCCGTAAGACAAGGTTTGTCGAGGCCGTTATGTGCCATTTTTCTCGGGGCGCTTCCGGGACGCTCAAGATTGGTCATATTTCAACTGCGAAAGTCTCGGTCTCAACACAAAAGCCTCCGTTCCAAAAAATCGAAATAGGGAAACCGGCGACAGAGCCTTGTTCACAATTGAAAAGAACAAATCCAACTGAGAGCCAGGAGGCTCGAGGAGAGGATTGGAGGGTTACTGCTAAGGGATGCCAAACTGAAAGTAACACTCTGGAGTTTTAAAGGCTGAGCTAAGGGGAAACTACAAACCTATAGCAATCAAAACATGGTCTGTAAAGTCGAGAATTGTTTTTGGACGCTACCTAGATCAGCCAGTAACTACGTCTAACTTAGTCAAGAAAAGAGCTGAAAGATTTTGCGCCCTGCAGTGAAAACAACTCGGAAAAAAAAGTAAAAATAGCTTCAGAGAAAATATCAAGACTTTCGCGGTTAACTGTATATATACTGGTAAAGTTAATAATGTCAGTAGAATCCTACCATCAAAATATCTTCTATACTAGGATTACAAACGTAGCCGTCAACTCTGCAGACAGTTACAAAATCCATCATTATCCTCGAGTTACCTCGAGATCAAATCCCTCACATGCACACCCCGGCGCAAGGTCGAATAAGGATAAGTGTCAGTAAGCCTCGCAGATACCACGAGATCTCTCCTCGAGTATACATGTACTTATTAATCACACTGGTGGTTGCACAACTGTCCAGGTGAACGTCAAGCATCTAGCTAGCTGGGACTGCAGCCGGTTTCTGGTTATTCATACATATATAAATGCTGCGAACAACAACTTCCTCAAATATTGTGGTTCCACGAGGATGGATCTCTGACACAGCATGCTTCTGGGGTCTGACCAGGAGGGTGCATCAGCAATGGTATTTTATGACTACAGCTTTTGCATGTGGCAGTGGTATATATCGACAGCAGCTATGGAGATCATGCCAGTTCATTAGTTTTGGAGGTCATGGGACGTAATACCGGCGTCTGTCTTAGTACATTAGTTTACAAATACAAGTACCCTCAATATCTGTATACAGGATGGAAGAGAAGTTCGTTGACGTCACTCGATCGCGAGGGTGGTTGAACAAATGCGAGTGATATGTTGTGAGGCTACCCCTATTCTACCTTCTTGTTTAATTCATTAATTGCATGCAACCTTACAGTTATGGAAATATCACACTTTCCTAGACTACCCTGCGCATGCTACCTCCGTCGATACTACCCTTATTGTTTTGAAGGAATTATTCCGTATAGAGTTTCTACATAGAGAAGAAAGATAGAGACCGTGCAGCTGAAGGTACTAAACGTCATTGATATGATGATATGGTTCTTTATTAAATAGACAGCCAGCTATCATTACATGTAGCTACCAATCATTACCCCAACCGTTTTGTTTTCCATACCCATGATCCAACCACATCTAATAAACATAACCATACCAGAAACCCCGTAACCCCAATCTATATAACACACATACATTTCATAAGTAACTCAAAAGAAATGAACCAAAATTTATACAACTCCAAAAAACCCATAACCCCATAACTTTATACAATCCTTCTATCCACCTTCATCTCCACAGTCGTCGTTTTCGAAATCCCATCCAAGCCCCTCACTAAGTCTTCCTCACTACTGTCCCCTCTAACTCTCCTCCACCAGCCCCCACTCTTCCTCTCAGGTCCTGTTACCCAAGATCGTACCGCAAACCCCATATTCACATTATCAGGGTCATACGCCACACTCAGAAAATCGAATTCCGGTGGCGAAGGTGTATTTCTTTCCCTAGCACTGGTGTTATGTCCGAAGTTCCCTATGCTACCAGTTCTTGCATGAGTCGGTAATAGGGATTCCGGCTTTGCCCCCTCAATGAACGATGTCGTTGACTCGCAGGCCGAGCCGGGATTGTTTGTATCTGTGCACTTTCGAGCGGGCTTCACACTTCCGCGGAATCTGCGCGGGAGGTTAGTGGGGTGGGCTTGCAGAGGATGGGTCTGGAGAAGATGGGAGGGGCTTGTACTTGGCGATTATGGCGGTGAGAGCCGGGAGGGACGCGGTGATGATGCCGAGGGATTGCTCGAGCACGTCACAGATCGCGACGGGAATTACGTGCCCTAGAGTGATATTAGCTCTATGTAAAGGATGACAACGTCAATCAATGTGTAAACTTACATGATACATCGACGGTTGTTAGGAGTCGCGGAAGGTATGCCAAACGAAGGACAGCAGTCACGCACGCCCTATTATATCATTAGCCCATAAGCACAATTTCAAGTTAGGGTGAGAGCTCACATAATGCCCAAGCCAAATACCACCCCCAGCCCAAGCTTCTGTCGAACTGGGATCTTCAAGTCCCACAGCATTATCATCGGTAAAAGTAGTACCAACACATCCGTGAATACACTGACCGCCCTCAAACTCAAAAAGATCGTCATTGTCTTTATAAAATCCGGACACTTTGTTGCACGTAACGAAACATACCACCATGCGTATACGGGGGAGCAGATGAAGATGAGACCGCCTGTAGAGCCGACGGTATATATTACTTGGAAGACGATGAGGATGATGACGAGGCGCTGTAGTAGCCGGTTGGGCCCGAAGAGGCGTCGGTAGAAGAGGAGTAGTGAAAGCTTAATAAAAAAAACTCCAATGTTGTAGAGAATAGGCATAATGTATGTTTCCTGATACATATTAGTATTTTGGCGGTTCTAAGCAAAGTTTTAATATCTTCATGGCGTACCTTGAGTAGATTGCAGATCGTCTCGGAATCAAGGTCATATATGTGACGCCCGAACCCACCAGTCTTTACAGAGAAACAGTAAAGTGAACAAGATCCAACGAATGATAACTACCCAAATATTAATCAGCGTCATATCTCTCTCAGTCCTGCTCACTTGACATCATAAACCTACCACTGCAAGTCCAATAGCAACATCATCCGCCCCTAGCCCGCCTGCGATAAATACTCTCGCATAGTACCTTAACCCCACAACCACAAATACAACCGATACCATCACAATATTCAGCACAAAAAGGGTATTTCCCTTATCTGGCATGACATAGTTTGGATCAGTGAACCGAGGGGGAATAAAATCTTGGTTGAAGCCCTTGAGGTTGTTCTCGGCAGCAAGGTGTTTGATGGATTTGAGATTCATCCAGTCCTCTGCGGTTATTGAGGGGAGAATCTGGGTATTGTTTGTCGACATAGTTGCTAGTTGAAGGAGTTCGAATCTAACTCGAAACACTTTTGTAAAGCTGAAGGGCGGTGCAAGACAAGATATAGGGTGAATTATTTGGGTTTGTTATTGTATCCGGGTTATAGGCCCAATCGATATGGGCATGTGTTATTGAAGGAATGCCTTTGTCTGTCTCATAATCCTCAAATGTATGTAATATCCATCTGGAGAATATATCCCTCTTATTCAACCCGAAGTGCAACTTTAAAACTCCCCCAGTGGTGTTTTGGAAAAGCCTATATACCATTGTTATGAAGATTGTCATATATATATAAGGTTTCAGATCATCCCTCCCTTACTTGAAAAGGATCTGAGCCGCTTGCGTGCGGTTGTGGCATTTAGAGTTGAGCAAGGAGTGGCCGGAGGTGGGTTGCAGAATTGGGTATCCGCGCCTCCTGAGCCATGAAAGTAATATGGCTCGGAGGCACGCTGCAAACATCGACTGCTCCGCACTCGACTTTTGTTTATGGACAATGGACTGTGGTGGTGGTGATGGTGGGTTGCTACCTTCCCAATGTAGTGACATGGCATGTGGAACTGGAACATTTGTGGCTGTACATGGTTTCAGTGCATAAGTGGTAGAATAGTACATATCCGCTCTAGGCACTCCAAATGATGAATCACCTAGTATAGATAGATTAATACAAAGATGTCTACGCCTTAATTATGTGCCCTATCTTGTAGTCGATGAGATCAGTACTATTTCTTGGACAAGATCAACTGTACTACCAACAAGTAAATAACAGGCCGACACAAATACTTACTCATATGCGCTCACCACGCTTCTTTTCTTTTAACAAAGTTCCGACCGATCGCGAGTAGAGTTAACCTCAATATAAAACGTGCTATTCCACCAGATCTGGCACTCACTTTAAATTTCGATACCCACCAGAAGTGTTCTGTGTGCCGGTCCTGGGCCCTCGCAGGTACCCATCAATGAATCGTGTCGGGAAGCCACCGATGAACTTTAGAGCCTCTCGTTCTCGTTCTCGTAGAGTGTGGCATGGTGTTCTTGTAACTAACTACATGTAAGTATTGCTTACCAAGAACCCGGTTATGCAAATATATATGCTACTATATATAGCCCGTCACATACATCCTTGTTCTGCACCTCTGACATCTTACGTGAGCCTCCTCACTCCTCCGCCACAATGGAAGCTCTTCTGGAATAAACCAGTTCACTGGGGTTTCGCTACCAGATAACTATGTGCTAGCCGAGGGGTAGTCGTGCATGATCAGAGGATTTTTGATTAAATGTATGTGCACTGAGTAACCATAATCCGGACGATCTCGAGGTTAAAATAGAGCATTAATGAAATGATAAGAGAGTATTGAGGGGATAGTATGATGTCATGTCATGCTCTCGCTCGCTGGGTTGAGTTTTACTAGCTCCAAAAGTAAAGCTCGAAATATCATTGACCATATGCAAGTCAACCAGGATTACTAACCAGAGCCATTTTGAGGTCCTATACACAGCATAAGAACCCTGACCTTAGATAGTCCCATCTTCCCGTCACCAAATATGAACAACATAATATATCCATCTTATCATGTGCTGTATATAATTTTCTAAATCCGGGGCCGGGTCAGTTATCGTATGCCAATGAGACATCACCACCCACTCTGATTCGTGTCCCGAGATATGCCTACCCAAGCCAAGTTACTCGGCTTCAAGACGGACGGCAGGGACCCTGCAGTGAGACTGGGCAACGGAGGAAGCTCAGAAATTAATATGCCATTGAATTCTACGTCTCAGAATAGATATAATCAAAATTATGACTTCTTCATTTTACATCTCTTTATGCATATATCGAGCCTCTCGGTAGATTTTTGATTTCGAAAATACAACTAGATTGCGCGGCAGATCCTTTGGTTTTCGTGGTCTGTCTATCGCTTTATATGCACCAACCGACACGGATACAGTGTGTACATGTATTCCATGCGAAACAACTCCAATCAATGTTCCTCACGAGAAGCAACGCTTTGTGGCTCCGACGCTGACCTAGAAAAATCTGTTTGGGACCGATTCGATTAAGCTTGACATGGCATATTAACAGAAGCCTAATCAGTATATACTAATTATTTACTACTTTCAGTTGGCCGATTGAGAGATATATTTTGTGCACAGTCACTCACTCGATGCGGTCTCGAACCTGAGAAGATATGTTAGATCAATGACTGATCACTTCTCGAGCGGCGTTGCGGATAACTATGGGCCTACCAGCGACCCGCATTGTGTCCGGGTCAAAGTGCAATGCCCTAGCTAGGGCTGGAATTCATTGAAACCACTGGCCGTACCGTGTACTATCAAGAGATAATTCTTTAAAAGAGATAGAAGAGTTCCAAAAAGTTTTAGTATTCTGGCATGAGGTTGTTGTTATCCAAAGCTGGTATGATGTCAAAGTCCACCGGTATCTCGGCAAACATAAAGTTCCGGTGCCACGTGGTGCACGGTCCTCGGAATGCATGTCATCAGCTTACCTACGGGAATAACTTTATACCCAATCGACAGCATAAGTACAGCAACGTCGTATCAACATCAAACACCACGGCTTCACTCTCTACGTCTTCACCCTGCATGAGCTTTCAGAGCTACTGGACCTACTTCCCACAAGTTAACAATGAGCGCTCACTCTTCATCGCTATCTAGGGAGATGAATGTATTCTCCAATATTTGTGAGTTGCATTCTTCTACATCCGTGAGTTTGGTATCTTGTCAATTGACTTGAGTCCTTCGGAGAGACGTTTCTTTAACCAACTAGTATATTCCGCAGCTAGATTGAGGAAACAGGCCCCGTGAGGCGAGTAAACCCGAGCCATATCATTTATCCCCCCCCCAGCGGCCACGTAGATCACTCTATGCACTAGCTAGCTGCAAAACTATCATGATTATTCAAAATTTGTGTGGTGAGATTTTTGAGTCTGAATCTTTATCATTGCTTTTTGAGAGTGAGATTCACAGAAGAATTTCATGTCCTGCAGATATACTAGCTCCTTTTCCGTGGAGGCTAAGATGCTAGCTCGGCCAATAAATTCCCGAAAGGTTATTCATTATTCACCCAAATATCTCGTGGCGTTTAAACTCCCAAAAGAGATTTCGACACGCTGTGGGGTACGGCAATTGAAAGGCCTTACACATACGATGTTCTATTTGTAAATCTCTCCCACGACCGAGACTCTTAGCCTTTAGTTTATTGTGTTCGACATTATGAATATAGTTTGTCGGTGATGGATTATGTATATCAACCAATCAATCTCTAGGGGAATTTTTTGATATGCCGTAAAAAAGAAATATTACAAATGACTTGAGAAAATAATTAGCAAAACGAATGACTACTCTATCAGGACCCTGAATTTTGCGAGGACAAATGAGGGGCTCCGGAATTCGATGTGCTGCAAGGTTTACAATAGAGGGATAACGCTCGGTAAGTCTAGAGCCATGTTTCTTTTTTTCGGGGAGGGGTTATTTCTTTTCTTTTGTGGGGGGAGATGCTGTTTTTTTAATAGTCACACAAGACGTTGATGTTGCTTTTTCAGGCTGATAGGACAGGAGAATAGGAGTAATTCACCCAAGATAGTAACTTGAACGTTTTATGGAGTCATTGGGGTTAACACGACGCTCTATGCTCGGGTGACTACGAGCACGCAACCGAGATATTTCTTTTTTACTTCCTTTCCCAGTCTCCTCTTCCAGTCTACCGCGCAGAACTGGAATCTCTAGTAAATATTTTCTCAAATTACACAGTTCATTAATGTAGGTTTGGTAAGCCAATGATTTCATGGCTATTAATATGAAACGATGAGCTAACATATCAATGTTAGCGGTTTGTCTAGGTCGATAGCTCCAATGCCGCCACTATCCCATTTGATATCGAGTGATAAATAATGATGCAGAGGACGGATCACCACAACAACCACTTTGTCCGTACGAAGACGTTGAAATAAGAATTACGGTTCAGACCAGCGTCTTGGTTCGTCTCCTCCGTGGGTGATATCTGAGAGCGGTGGCGGCATCTTGATCTGATCATCAGGGTCAAAGCCAAAACCTCCCTCCAGTGATACGGTGGGATTTGAAACATCTTTACCAGGTTTATAATTCGTTGCACCTAACGACGAGCATTGTCTGGTCGACAATTTGTCTACATATGTGTGGAGCATCTCGAAACCTGTGGTTATCGTGACCAACTCCTAGTATGAGGTGGGATGGGATGGTCACCTGCATCTGTATGTATGAGGTACATGTGTACCTACATATACCATCGAGTCTGGATGTCCTTTAGACTCTGTTGACATGAGTTCGGTGCGCCCCAGTCCTGCACGTATAATTGCGTTCAAAAGAACTGACGTTTTATTCTTCTCCAGCTAAACGCTTTTGACGCGTCGTAAATTCTGTGCGTAACTTATATCGACGCACTCCAGGAGTACCGGCCATGCCTTGGCGTACAAGCTCAGATCATGGGATGGCTCAACCCAACTTCCTCAAGGATTAGGGGGTCCCCTAATCCACCCCCTTCCTGATCCACCTTATGGACACCCCCGAACCGAGACCTCTCCCCCCATCCCCCTTCCCCTTCCCCCTTGCCCCCCAACGAACGGCCCGAATTCACTACCCTTTCATTTACTCATTTAAACCTCGATACGGCCACCTGCGTTGGCGGCATTTCAACTTTTTCCCTAGCTTGCTGTGCGGCGCGCGGGAACCTACATAAAAATCCACTTTGGAGAAAAAAGTCCCTTCCCTCTTCCCCTTCCCCCCGACTGAATCGAAACCGCCACATACATATCCTCATTTCCAATGCCTGCCAAGAGCCGAACGAGTAAGAACGCGGCCCAGAACCGCCCGCCGCTGTCTGTCGTGAACCCCGACCCGACTAACTGCTCAGCTCAACGCCTATCATTTGAAATAATCCCCGCTAGTTCGTCCCTATTTTTGTAGCTCGCGATGAACCGACAAGCCAATTTTTCTGCCCCTTTCACAAGCATGATCGCCTCCTCTTCTTTTCCCTTTTCCGTTTTTGGAATTTGGACGTTTTTGCAACAATTGGAGTTTGAGCTAGGTACATAGCTGAGGGGGAGCTCGTGAGTATGGAGAAAAGCAAGATACCGCAGAGAAGGGAAGTGGGAGAAAAAATTACTACAGCGCGGGATATGATCAACGCGGCCACAAATTGGTTCGAGCGTACCTACCTACCCCATATGTGCGTATGTAATGTATGATATGAATTGAATTTCACATTGCACTGGGCTCGGTTAGGTACTAGTTCGTGTAGGAAATAGGTATGGCATCACACGATGACCTTGGGGTAATTTTCTGTTGAGGGTCAAGGTTGGTGTTGATATCTCCATCACAACATATGAAAAGGAAAGAAAAAAAAAGTAAAAAAAACCATTTCGCCCACAAACCTATTGCTGACCCTAACCTTATCAAGAAGATGTGAGAATGTCTCCGCCCTCCCTGCTCATGCTAAATAAGCCTACCCCTCTTTTTCCACGTGAAACTATCATTTAGCTACATGTAAGTCGTATGTAGGACTTGGGAGAGCTTCTTCTGCAGATTCCCTAAAACCTGGATTTCTTTCTTCTGCCTGCTTTTCCCAGATGGCGTTCCCTCGCCAAAAAAGAAAAAAAAAGAAAAGAGGACAGAAAAAACCAAAAAGAAAAACCAGGAAACGAGTTCGACACTTTTCCCTAATATGTGTAAACGCCTGTGATTTTATTTCCTAATAAATAACCAGAGTACATGAACTCGCGGAGATCTCAAGACGAAATCAAAAACCCCGCCATATGTACTTATACATGTGCATACATGTATGTAAGATACTGTACATGAAGAATAAACGCACCAATAAACAATACGGTCGGTAGAGTTAGATGAAGCTGTGAAAAGAAAAAAAAATAATAGGGATAAAAAAATCAACTCCGTCCGTAAGATACATGTATGCCATCCAGAAAGCCCCGCCTTCTCTCTCATGCATTCATTCATTCTTCTTCTCCTTCTGAAGCTCCAAAAAAGAAAGTGCTTCCGGAAACAAAACGAAATGGAAACGGAAAAGGCAAAGAAAAACGTTTGGTTCCAAGAAAAAAAGCTTTACTCGTAGTGGCCCCGCTAGCTATAGAAACAGGTCGAGATTATCCCCACTGCCTAACCCCGACAATCGTATTTTTTTCGCCTCCTCCTGCCCTGACATGCATGCCCCTGGAGAAAAAAAAAACCCCCACCCCGCACAACACCCCTTTTGGGATAACAAAACATAAAAAATAATAAACTTTTGACTTTTGATGAAAAAAATCAGACAAGTGCCCCACAATTGATATTACTCCAAGACAAAGGAAAGAAAAAAATAACAACTAATAACGGACAATATTAACGCCACATATTTTTCCCCAATTGAAGATTTAACAAAAGAGATCGATAAAGGATTTCAAAGTAAAATCCCTTATGAAAAAGCATCAACAGGAAATAGTTGGAATTGGAAGAAAGTAATAGTAAAGAAACAAAACTTGACCGCCATGCCGTGCCTATGCTGTGCCGCTCCATATGTAGAGAAGGAAATTTTGGAAAAGGAAAAATTAACAGAAAAAACCAAACTTTTTTTTTTATCGGACGATGATCCGGAGAGGCTTGAATTTTGCACCGACGGCTCGGCACTCACCACAGCTTCCCCGTTTGCCCGCACTGTACGCGCAATCGGCGCAGAAGCCTGCCATACACTCGGTGCACGCAAAGGAGTTCCCAATTGGGGAGGGATTCTCGCAGGTAGCGCAAATGAGGCATCGACTGGATGGCGAGAATATTGACTGGCGCGATGAAGGGGATGCGGTAAGGATCGGCGCGTGGGAAGAAGATGCTGTTGTGGGAGGAGACGGGGGTGTCTGCTGGTCGAAGGTTAGAGGAGATGAGAAGCAGCTAGGCATAGGAGGGAGGCGAACAGGTGCATCGTTGTTGTCGTGGATGTGGTGGTAGTGTGCGTATTCTCCCACCTCGACCACGGCGCGAGTGGTGGCGGCCTCGATCAGTTCGTCCCAGCGTGATGCACCGAGTGAAGATTGTCGACTTCCATACATGGAGCTCTCAGTGCTATCACCATATGGGTGAGCCTGGCGTTTTCGTTTTGATGATCCAGAACGATGCTCTTGGTTGATAAAGTTGAAGTCCTTGAGGTGAGGTGAGCTTATCCCACGCATCCCACGGTGGAAGATGGCATGTTGAACACGTCCTCGTCGTTCATCATCTTCAGTCTCCTGAAAAGTCCACAAATGACGTATATCAGCAAAATTCTATATTTGGTACAATAAATTGGCTTTTTTTGGAAGCTTTGTGGGAGAAGAGCTATCAAACCACACCGCTAACAGAGGTACTGAAATCATTGAGCTCGGATGGAGGCTGTTTCCGGCAGAAATGCCCCTCTGGTGCGAGTCCGCGGAGGAAAACAACTCTCACAACCCATTGATAGCCCCGGATGGGGTATAAGCTTTGGGGGGGCGAACAAAAAAATATGAATGACGAAGATTCGGGCAACTCACTGTTCCACTCCGTTCTTCGTGGCTATCAATTCCCATTTCCTCATCATCCATAAAGGAATCTTCATCCTCATCGTGCTCAAAATCCGACATTGCTGCAGGGAATTTTGATTGAAAGTTTGCTGGGTTTGATAATGAGATTGAGTGTAAAGTTTCTGATTCGTTTGCCGATGAAGGTGGTGACATGCCGTCGACGTATTGGTCATCTTCGAGTTTGGGCATAGCTGTAATGTCGTCATTAGTAACCAAAACAAAATGATTGATAATCCATGATTGGAGCGACAACAACGGATTCAACTACCACGAACCATTGCAGGATTCTTTCCAGCAGAGGGGAATCAACTCACACTTTGAAGATTTTCGGTATCCAGTGTTGATGGCGGATGGGATTGGCTTCCTTACAAGAGGGAATGCGCCTGATGGGATTCCTCCTCTGGATAGGCTGACCATCTTTGCGAAGGTCTCAGCGCTAGCTGGTAGCTTTGGGATCCAATTGTCTGGATGAGCTCGACGAATGTGCTCACATATTGAGCGGTAGGCAAAGTTCTAAAATATATCGCGCCCCAACAAGACCCAGTAGGTCTCTCGAGAGCAAACAATTAACACTCCAATTCCTCTTTCGCTTTGCGATTTTTATTTCTAAAAAAAAATTGCCATCCTCCCCCTTCGAAGCTCTCTTTTTGTCCAGAGGTCCCCTTCAGGTGAATTTAGGCTGCTGCTGATTGGGAAAAATTGTTCAAGACTCACACCGATGCACTTTTTCCTGCACACTGATCCATCTGCATTCTGAAGAGGACACACAACCTCGCTGCTGCCCTGTCCACCCAAGATTCCTCCACCGGTTCCAGAGACCTTTTTAGCGACAGTACTAGGGTTCTTCGAGTTCAATGTTGTTTTCGCCATTACGGGCATGTTGGGCAATATTATAAGAGTGTTATTGAATTATTGAAGGTTTGTGGTATAGGTGTAATTTTTTTTTTCCTTTCGCTGTGGAGGAAATTATGTGTGGGACCCTTGAAGTTGTGTTCAATTGAGGATTGATCGATTGATTATGGGTGTTTTGAAGGTGGGTGTGAGGGCGAAGATATGAGGTAGAGGTAGGTGTGTGAGAGGTAATGTGAGGTGAGGTGAACTTTGTAGGTGTGTGTGGGCACCGGTGGGGGGGGTGGGTGGGAGAGCTGGGAAGAAAAAAGAGACGCAGAGAAAAGAAATCGGAATCGGGAGTGGTAGAAAAAAGTTTAGGAAAGAAAAAAGTTCCAGGAAATCGGCACCAGAGAGGAGTAAACAGGCCGAAAATGGATGATAGCTTCCCTCCAGCAGCTAGCTCTTTCACATTCACCTACAAATGATTGGTGGAAGCTCCGGGCGCTCGAAGTGACGAGCTGTGCGTGGTGGGTGCCTTGGCAGCGGGGGGGTGGGAGAAGAGGAGGATGGAGATGGGATATGGAAGGGGGGGTGCCGGGATCGCTAAGCTGAGTGGAGTTAGAAGGAGCTAAATACTGCGGTGGGCGAAATGTAATCGGCAGTTGACCATGCAAGAAGGTTGTTTGTGGGCTTGCAAGAGGCGGGAGACTGGGGAGAGACTGGGGGAGGGGAGAAGGAAGGGGAGAGAGAAGAGGAGAAGGCAGAAAATTTTCTCAGCCCGAGTGAGAGAACATAGACTCGTAAAGAGAGCTCCAGGAAACCGAGAGAGAGCTCACTGGGCCATGGGTGGCTCCAGAACGGGGGGGAGGGGATAGGGATGGAGAGCTGTCCCCGAGGCACTTTGGGTTGCACATAACTCGTACCAAGACCCAAAAGAGACATCTTGTCATTATTATTATTTGTAGAGCATGCCAGAGTTCCTACATCATGTATCTAGCTGAGAAGCTGTAGTAAACAAAGAGATAGGTGGTAGTACATGTAGCTATCAACCAACCTTACAACTGCGTGACGAGCACACCTACTACATAAGGTAGCAACGGTACGAATCATAGCATAGAGTAGTACTCTACCTCGGGGGGTCCTACATTTAGGTATAAGGCATGTTGTAGGCATGTTGTTGTAGGTACTTTACTGTGCCTGCCAGTTGGTTGTTGATTAAAGCTGTCTCCTTAACGCTTAACGCTGACTGAACCGAACTCCACGGAAGATTTCTCAACCGAATCCTTCTCTACAAGTCGTCTATTTGCTCTCTTCCCCCCACACGGTAGCCAGGTACCGTAGGCACACACACACATACACCTACACACCGCATGATGTCGTCTACCGTGATGGTCTTGCTCCATCATCCATGGCCACAAAAATAGGTCCTGATACAAGTAGAGTGATACTGTGCACATAATACATTCAACAGACACACACACAACGATAAAGCTCTTTTCATGTCATTTTTCTTCTTCCTCGTTCTCATCTCTCTGCCCCTACTCTGTCCCCCGTCCACCCGTTCATCCATCCCCATCCCCCATCTCTTTATCCCCATCTAAACACCATATCGCGCACAAGGTTTACAATTTCTTTTTTTTTTTCCTTTCTCTTTCCCTTATTTAAATTTTAAAGTACATCTCTTCAGCCACTTCTAGGCATCTTGTCTCCTTCCCATCTTAATGTTACTCGCTTCCTCTTGCATCTACCAAGGTTTGCCTGCCTGCTTGCCTGCCCATCGGCATCCTCCTTCCACTCCGCTTGTCAAATAATGGAAAAGAAAATTTTCTTTTCTTTTTCCTTTTTTTTTTTTCTCTTTTCCGCCGTTGAAATGACACACGCGCTGCACTGCAAGGTCAAAGCTCCTGTCGCCCGATAAGGAGCTAAGCAGGAGCTACGGGCGCGCTCACCACACCTTCCTCGGGTAAGCTGCCCTTCGGCCTGACGCAATTGTTTACTTACATGAATGGTGCATGCACGTATGTACCGGGTGTTCACCTTTAGTCTCAAGAACTCTGATTTATTGGGTGAAAAATTCAGGGATGTGGGTGACATCAACCAATCATTACGAACCAAACCGGCCTTAGCGCCAAAAATTTGTATGGGGGAAAAAAGTCTCAAGAACTTTCAGTTGCCCTCCATTAAAAAATCTAAATATTTTTTTAAAAATACAAAAAAATAACTGCATAACAGCGCTTGCTCCCAGCTCCCCCTACATAATTTTTCGAGCCCTAGGCCCCTGTGGGGGAGCGTTTTTTGATAGAGCTGGGTGCAAACAACAGTCAAATCGGGGTCATGGAGGTCGCGTTGCAAAAGATGGGGGGTAGCCGATTCAAGTACTTTTTCTGGCGCCAAGTCCGATTTTTGGCGCCAAGCCTGGCTCCGACCAATCGCACCCGCAAAAAGATGTTCTCGAGACTAACCCATAACCCCCGGTACAGCTCTGTCGAAGCTCTCCATGATCAGCAACTGTACTGAAACATACCTTGCACATATGTAGTGTCCTGTAGGTACAATGTACCTACTCTAATTACGCAACTGCGCCGTCCGTGAGCGAGTGAAGTTAATTGTTCAATTGCATGGAATGCTGTTGAAAAAGGTACATCATGTAGGTACTCGTTGTAGTAAGTGGATAGGCGAGTATGTTGAGTGTTGGGGTGAGAGAAGTAAGAGAAACGGTATGATACCATGTGCCAAAGTACCTACATGTATCTACAAGCGGATTGATGAAACGGTACACCTCCCACGGAATATTTCTCTCTCATCTCCTCCTCCCTTCCCTTTCCCCCCTTCCCTTACCCTCCCCGCCGCCGCCGAGGTATCCACAAAAACGGAGCTTCCTCCATCCATCCATATCCATCACACCGATTGTCGTTGCCTGTTCCTTCCCTCCCCCTACCAACCTCTCCCCATCTCTCACCCCCCTCTTGACCGCTCCTAATGCTTTCTACCATCTGCTTTTGATACTGGGGGTACTCTACTTTACATGAAGGGGTTCCCTTCAATTCAAATTCAACATAGCCTGTTTGTTTCCCGCACGTGCCATCGGTAGGCCCCTGGCCTGGCCGCTTCGAGCTCCTGCTCTTGGTAACAGCCATGAGCGACTTCCCTGGTTCGATTCAAAAACTAACCTCTTTATTTATGCCTGCTATTCCCCACCAGTGTCACAGCAGCTTCGCGTAACTCGAAAAAAAAATCTCTTGATAAGAAACTACTATTTGCCAAAATTTGCTTTAGAAACAAAAGGCTGAGATTAGTTGATTTAGATGGTGTTGATTCAAAACCGCTTGTCCCTTGTCTTAACCTTTGTCTGCCTGCCCCTGTGCCAAGAAAATTGAATCTTCCCGAGCCCGCGCGAACTACAAACTCTGCGGGTTGAAGTTTAAGGGTCCTACTGCTCCGGGAAAACGGGTATACGGTGCCTTACCCCAGCAACAGGACAGACCGCACTCAATTTGGGTGGGGGAATTAATAGAGGATCATATTATAAGATAACTGACCAGATCTAGATTGAAAATACTCGCTTGTGACTGCGATATGTACGACATGCATATCTATCGTCGTCAGTTTTACTCTACACGCTTACCAGCGTAAGAACCAGAAAATGCAGTTGCTCAGGGCAAGGATAATTTGTATGGAGTGGCGTCGTTCTCTCATACAAATAACCCCTGTTTCCGTTACTTGCATTTTCTGGTTCTTTTGAGGGTAAGCTGTACTTTGACCCCCATAACATGGGCAAAGCCAATTGAAGGAAATTGCAGGTTTATAAGGCGTATTTGGTAAGTAATAATAGATTGATGCGGCTACGGAATAACTGTACCTACAGTGCTGTCCTGTCCAGCGAATAACCTAGCTCGTGTGTGACTTCACTGGTTCTCACTCGTTCACGTCCAATCGTCAAGTTCTAGCCTGTAAGCTAGAAGGTCTAGAAATTCTACTAATCTAGTCGGCGTGGCTATGAGAGTGGATCCAGCGCTAGAATTTACGCCGGAGTTGGGAGTGAATTCCGGTTCACGGAGAGGCAAGAGGGAGAAAACAGCCTTCTCTGCTAGGAAACACGGCTAACAAATGTTCTCGGCCCGACACCTTAGTGAAATTCTAGCGAGCCATCTAGATTCTTACGAGTTTCTAAGGATGCAAGGTGCCTGGTGCTGCTCGAAGGAGGGCGTTGAATAAACTGTTTTTAGAGGATACCGATAGCAAACAAAACCAATGACATACAGAACCTACGATGAGGAACGGTGTTCGTCCGAGCGTATGTACGCGATCCCCCGCTGCGACAGGAACCCCGCAGACCAATCCCGGTACAAAAAAAAAAAAAAAAAAAAGAAAGACAGAGCACAACCACAACCTCCACAACCACCTCAATTCGTTTGCCAAATCAGATATCACAACCAGCGGCTCGGAAGGCTTCACCAATCCGGCTCCTTCTAAAAAAAAATCACCCCTCTTCTATATGAACCCGAGAAAATTTAGGTTTACATACCCCTCCATTTTTGTCTGCGAATTCGTCATTGAGTTTTCTGCTCGTGGAGATTTCTTGCCAAGACGTGACCAGGGAGATGGAGATCATGATTTCATGGAGCTGGGTATCTGCCGGTTGAATAGGTCTCCCAGGGAACTGGTGCAGTGCATAGCAGTTGACGTTTTGCTGGGCCAATGGCTACATAAGAATAACAGCATTGGAAATATCTATCGTAATCAAGGCCTCTTGATCCCCATTGGAAATCGATGATCCTACTACGCAACAATGTTACTATTATGACATTTGTCGAAAGAAGCAAGATGTAGAGTGGTGGTGGTGGTGGAGAGCGTACAAAGGTGTCGATCCTTTAGACCTTGCAGCTCCTGAGAAGCTTGTGCCCTTGGCATATGTACTCAATGCCAGAAAACTCTTCAAGTAAAATGTTCATCTAAAGTAATGTACTTGGGTTTATTTACCACCGCGGTTCGAGCGCTTCTACGGAAACCGGTATTAATCCGGTTGTGGTCGGCTATCATGTAATACC